TTTTATTTGGGGCATTTAGCTCATTTACATTTAAGCTTAATATTGTTATGTATGAATTTGATCCTGCCATTATGATGCTAGTTGGTTGTTTTGCCTGTTAGTTGATGGAGTTTCTTCATAGTGTCAATTGTCTTTGCAATTTGGTATGTTTTTGCAGAGGCTGGTTCCTGTTTTTCCTTTCTATATTTAGTGCTTCCTTCAAGAGCTCTTGTAAGGCAGGCCTGGTGGTGACAAAGTCTCTCACCATTTGCTTGTCTGTAAGGGATTTTATTTCTCCTTCACTTATGAAGCTTAGTTTCTCTGGATATGAAATTCTGAGTTGAAAATTCTTTTCTTTAAGAATGTTGAGCTTGGTGCGGTGGCTCACACCTGTAATCCCAGCACTTTGGGAGGCTGAGGAGAGCGGATCACCTGAGGTTGGGAGTTTGAGGCCAGCCTGACCAACATGGAGAAACCCCATCTCTACTAAAATTACAAAATTAGCTGGACATGGTGGCATATGTCTATAATCCCAGCTACTTGGGAGGCTGAAGCAGGAGAATCACTCGAACCCAGGAGGCAGAGGTTGTGGTGAGCCAAGATCATGCCATTGCACTCCAGCTTGGGCAAGAAGAGCAAAACTCCATCTCAAAAAAGAATAAAGCCTTTTTGTGCTGGTTTTTCCTCATCTTCATGGATTTATCTAACTTTAGTCTTTGATGTTGGTGACCTTCAGATGGGGTTTCTGTGTAGACGTCCTTTTAGTTGATGTTGATGCTATTCCTTTCTGTTTGTTAGTTTTCCTTCTAACAGCCCCCTGTGGTGCAGGTCTGCTGGAGTTTGCTAGAGGTCCACACCAAACCCTGTTTGCTTGAGTATCACCAGAAGAGGCTGCAGAACAGCAAAGATTGCTTCCTGTTCCTTCCTCTGGAAGCTTTGTCCCAGAGGGGCACCTGTCAGATACCAGCTGGAGCTCTCCTGTATGAGATGTCTGTAGACCCCCGTTGGGAGGTGTCTCCCAGTCAAGAGTCCTGGGGGTCAGGGACCCAATTCAGGAGGCAGTCTGTCCCTTAGCAGGGCTTGAGTGCTATGCTTGGAGATCTGCTCCTCTCTTCAGAGCCAGTAGGCAGGAACATTTAAGTCTGCTGAAGCTTCACCCACAGCCACCTCTTTCCCCAGGTGCTCTGCCCCAGGGAGATCAGAATTTGATCTATAAGCTCCTGGGGCTGCTGCCTTTCTTTCAGAGATTCCCTGCCCAGAGAGGAGAAATCTAGAGCGGCAGTCTGGCTCCAGCGGCTTTGCCAAGCTGCAGTGGGTTCTGCTCAGTTTGAACTTCCAGGCACCTTTGTTTCTACTGTGAGGGGAAAATCCCCTACTCAAGCCTCAGTAATGATGGATGCCCCTCCACCCACCCACCTTGAGCATTCCAGGTCAACTTCAGACTACTGTGCTGGCAGCAAGAATTTCAAGCCAGTGGATCTTAGCTTGCTGGGCTCTGTGAGGGTGGGATCCTCTGAGCTAGACCTCTTGGCTCCCTGGCTTCAGCCCTCTTTCCAGAGGAGTGAATGGTTCTGTCTCTCTGGCATTCCAGGCACCACTGGGTTATGCAAAAAAAAAAAAAAAAAAAAAAAAAAAAAAAATCTCCTGCAGCTGTCTGTCCAAACAGCTGCATGAAACCCAGGGCCCTGGTGGTATAGGCACCTGAGGGAATCTCCTGGTCTACAGGTTGCAAAGACCACAGGAAAAACGTATTATCTGGGCCAGAATGCACCATTCCTCATGGCACAGTCCCTCACGGCTTCCCGTGGCTGGGGGTGCAGTTCCCCAACCTCTTGCACCTCCCAAGTGAGGCAACCCCCCACCCTGTGTCAGCTCATCCTCTGTGGGCTGCACCCACTGTCCAACCAGTCCCAGTGAAATAAGCTAGGCACCTCATTTGGAAATGCAGAATTCACCTACCTTCTGTGTTCATCTCGCTGACAGCTGCAGACCAGAGCTGTTCCTATTTTGCCATCTTGCCCCCAACTCCTCCTTTTCTGTGAATTTCTATTCATACTGTTTGGACATTTTTGCATTGGTTTTATCTATATCGATATGTTCTTTATCTCATGTATTGCAAATATTTTCTCTAGTGTGTAACTTCCTGTACCTTTTTGGGTGGAGTTTGATATTTAGAGTTTGTATTTTTATGCGGTCAAATTTGCTAATATTTTTATTTGTAACTTCTGATGTAATGCTGTAATATGAAAGGTCTTTTCAATTATAAAAACATACTGTATTTTCATTTTTATAATTCTGATTTTATGTTTTGATATTCAACAAGTGTTAGGAATCTAATTTTATTTTTTCCAGTGAAAGCTGATGTTGCCTTCAAACCATTCTTTTATTAAGCAAACCTCTCCCACTGATCTGAAGTGCTACCTTTATTATGTATTTATTCCTCACATTAACCAGATTGTTATCTAGGCTATTCTGTTCCACTAATCTATTTGTTCTAGCTCTATATTTTTTTCTCACTATATCCTAATTACCTACCTACTAAATAATTTATTTTCATGTTTCTTGGCAGCCTTCTCTGCTGGAATTGTAAGCTACACAAGAGAAAGAAATTTCTGTTTTTTCACGAATGTATTCCTCCCAAGTACTTAGAACAGTACACCCCCATAGTAGGTATTCAGTAAACTTGTTGAATAGATGTTTGCAAAACTTGTCTTCCCAGCCAGGAATGTTGTATCTCTTCATTATTTTTATTTTCTGTAATTGAACTATTCTAATCTTTTATTCCTTCTTTAGTCAATTTTAGAAGTTTGTATCTTTCTAGGAAATCATTCATTTTTTTCTAGATTTTCTAATTTATTGGTAAAAGTAACCTATTTTAACTTTTAAATTTCTTATATACCTGTAAGTATATTCCTTATTTATAGTATTGTTTTTGCCCCACCCCCTTGTTAGTTAGGCTTGCAAGAAATTTTCTATTTTCTTAGGTTTTTGTTTTGGTTTTCTTTTCCTTTTAAAAAGAATTCTTAATTTTATCTACTTTCTTTTTTATTTAATTCCTTGATTTCTACTTTTGTCATTATTGATTCTTCACTTCTGCTTTCTTTTTGTAATTAGTCATCTCTTGCCTGCTTACCAAATTAAATAGTTCATTTATTTTTAGTCTTTCTTGTTTTCTCAGCATTTAAAACTACACACAAGCAAAAGGCTGTGAATGAAGAAAACTTCATGTGGCTTTAGCTACATCCCATGAGATTTTCCATATAATGTTCATATTGTCATTATCTTTTAAATCATTCTTAATTCCCATTTTAACTTCATATTTAATGCAAGGATCATTTATAATGTTTGTCATCAGCAGTGTGATCAGAAAAGAGAAGGTGCTATGAAAGCAAATGTTGGGAACATGAGTCCAGATGTGTGGGGTCAGAAAACCGCACGTGGAGGGAACGACTTCTAAACAGAAAACTAGGGAGACGGTATATGTATTAGCAAAATGATTTCACTGCTTAGGATGGGGGATTAAGGTAGCATTCCAAGCTGAGAATACAGCATGTGCAAAGATGTGGAGGTAGGAAAGAACATGGTAAGTTTTGGGGACTGAAATGAGGTCAGTCTGACTAGATAACACAGTGTAAGGCAAAAAATGGCAAGAGATAGACCTGGCTAAAGGACAGATAGACCATATCATGAAGCAATTTGGACATTATATATAATCCAAAAACAACGTATTGTTTCATGAGCTTTTAAATGCTATATATCATTATACTGTATGCATCATGCCATTACTTTTTCATTCATCATAAAAATATATGTTATTATATCATCCATTCACATCCCTCTCCTTCCATCTCATGATCTACTGCACTTATTTCTGATTAAGTAAGTTTAAGTAGAATGTAATTTATGGTAATTTGTAAAAATGTTACTGATTTATTCTGATTCCAAATGTAAGATGCATAAACACAACACAACCTGAACCTCCCTGACGCTATGAATTCCCCTTCCTCCTTCCAGCCAGTCCTCTCCAAGTGTGCTCTTTAGACAATTAAAGAAAGTTTATTCCTAGAGGCTGTACCCAGAGAATGTCATATCTTGAAAGAAAGCTATGAAATCAGCTAGTCCAACTGGTCATTTTACAGACATAGCAACAGAACTAAAGAGTTTAAGATAGTTACCCTCTATGCTCCACTGTGACTTAGGCAGAATATTACGTGCAGAAAGTTGATTACTTTGAGTGAACCTGCAGAAGTAGGCTCTATGTTATACCATTCTCACCCCTGCTGACCTCCATGTCTTCATCCCAGCTATATTAGCCGGCTAGAGATGTCATAACAAAATCCCACAGACTGGGCAGCTCAAACAACAGAAATTTAGATTTTTATCTTATTTTTAGAGGCTAGGAGTCCAAGATCAAGGTACTGTCAAGATTGGTTTCTGATGAGGCCTCTATTCCTGGCTTGGAGACACTTGCCTTCTTGCTATGTCCTCCAGTGGCCTTTCTTCTGTGTGTGCCCAGAGGGATGCCTGGCATCTCTTCCTCTTCTTATAATGGCACCAGTTCTACTGGACTGGGACCCCCTGCTTCTTACCATTTTACCTTAATTACCTCCTGAGAGGCCCTATCTCCAAACACAGTCTCATGGGAGGTTAAGGCTTCAACACAAGAATTTGAGGGGGACACGATTCAACCCACAACACAATGCAGAATTCCTAGTAACACTATTCCTGCCATGCTCATCCTCATGATTACTTAATACATGAACTCCAGCTTCTTTTTATGCTAAATGATGTTATATAAAAAGTGATATGGTATTCAAGAAGAAAACTGAATACTCTGCAATGAAGTGGGAGGGAAGCTCCCCAATATAGTGTAAAGTTATGGGTTCATACCTGCACATTCTAACTTTCTCAAAGTATGTAAATAGTCATTATAAAACAAATTATTTTGGTTGAAAGTACACTTAACTAAAACAGCATGATTTATGGTTACTTAGACTAACATAAACTTTTCTTTTTTCCAGATTATTTTGGAAATATTTTGGTAAAAATGGAAAATAATGTAATGTTTTATTCCAAGATTAATATTGGAGATGCAATAAAGCTGCATTTATGGACAAGCAACACAACAAAAGCATGGATTTTCTTAAATACATCTGGTCATACATACTTCCTGTATGCTTTTGACGATGACATAATACAAACACAGGACTATCCCTTACATCTGGAAGCAAAAAGTGTAACTTTCAAGGCAAAAGACAAATGCCCATACATGGCATTTCATAATAATATTGCTCATCTTCTTTACTTTTTGGACAAGGGAGAGGCTCTGACAGTTTGGACTCAAATAGTGTATCCAGAAAATAACGGCCTGTATGTTATTATGGAATCCTATGGCCCAAAAATATTAGAAGTGAGACATAACATTTCCTTTGAAGTTGCCTTTGGATACTGCACCAAAACTCTGGTAAGTTAATATTTTTAATTTCTTTATTTGGTTTTAATAAGTATAAAAGTATAATATTAACATTTTTATAAATGGATTTCCCTTCTAGGCTCAGCTGGGAAAATGTCCAGGAATGGCTGAGTTTTTAATAACGTGATAAGCCATTAATTCACAAGCCATTATTTTTGCTTTCAATATCCAAGCCCTCTTTGCCACCTAATAACCCGTAACACATTCCTTCAAAACTCATCGATTGTCGATAGTATCGTTCACTTTTTTTTCATGCATGGCTTTCCTGTGGACTTCTGTTATCCATTGTAGTATAACAAACCACCTCAAAACTGAATTGCTTTAAATAACAACCAATTCTATGAATCAATTCAGTTTGGGCTCTGAGTAGCCGGGCAGTTCTGCTGGTTTTACCTGGGTTCATTGATGTGGTATGGGCATCCAGTAACTCATCTGCAACTAGATGACCTAAGACGGCCTCATTAATCTAAGGGGCCTCAGCTGGAACACTTGACTGTGCTGGATAAGCCAGGTTTAGTGTTATCCTCCAGACTAGACCTGGCTTCTTCCATGGCAGCCTCAGGGCAGCGTTCCAAGACGGTGAGAACAGAACCTAGGCTAGGCCACATATCCCTAACTCATAGGATGGGGACATAAACTCTACTTCTTATGGAGAAATAGCAAGTTACACTGTAAAGAGACATGCATGTGGGAATGGGAAGAATTATTGCAGCGATCTTTGCAAACCACGTCATAATAGGTATAAATATACTGTGCATATTATGTTGTGTAGTATATCTCCAATTAATATCATAATGTGAGCATTTCACAAGTTACTTTAATTTCTTCTTGAAAACTGTGTAACCCAAGTGGCAGTGTCTGTTCCCCACCTTCCCTTTCTTGGCTCAGCTTCCTTAAGCACATATAATAGTGGGTCTGCTATCTGATACAATTGAATGGAAGTGGTCAGTCAATTCCAAAGTCAGTGAAAGCAGAGAATCATAAAAAGTGAAACCAATCTATGTGAAACATTTTACTTTAATTTAAATATATATGAAACATGTTAGTTTCATTTAAATGAACATTCATTTATTAGACAATCTTTTCATATAGGACCAAAGCCTTTTCTTTAAAATAGGTCCACTTATTATAGCTCCTCATCTCCTTTTTTGTATAACCTTGCTCATAATGCATCATCTTTGAGTTCCTATTTCAGTTTCTTTAAGATAAAGGAAAAAAATACTGAAAGGCACTGGCAAAGCAACTGAAGCTCTAGAATTTTATAATATTTTTCAGTTTTTTTAGTATTGCTTTGCTCTTATTCTCTAATTCAGCAATCTCCTTAGTTACGTGCTTTATCAAAACTTTTCAAAAAAAATCAACTTCTCAAAGAAACAGTAACTACTTTCATTTGATACTTATTTTATCAATCTATAATATTACATATAATTAATTAAAATAATAATATAATCTGGCATAAACAGATTTGGAAACAACACGAATTTAGATTTATATGGAGTCTCACGGATAGACCTTAAAACACAGAGTTGAATGAAAATTATAAGAAACTATTTGAAATCTATCTTAGTCCACTTGGGCTACATAACAAAAATAGCTCAAGCCAGGTGACTTACAACAACAGAAATTTCATTCTCACAGTTCTGGAGGCTGGGAAGTCCAAGATCAAGGTACCAGCAGGCTCGGTCTCTGGTGAGGGCCCATCCTCATAGACAATGTCTTTTCACCATGTCCTCACATGGCAGAAGGGGCAAGGCCACTCGCTTAGTGCTTTTATAAAAGAGGCCTCTTTTATCCTATTCAGGAGGTTCTGCCCTCATGACCTAATCACCTCCCAAAGGGCTCCACCGCCTAATACTATCATATTGGTGATTGGGTTTTAACATACAAATTTTAGAGGAACACAAACATTCAGACCATAGCACTATCAATGTCATATTTATGAATATCACAAATACATACACATAAATAACAAACAAAAAGGCATTATACATATTTCAAGGATACAAAGATACCAAAGGTATATTTTCAAGGATACAAACATAGCTGTTTGATATGTGATATTGCTGTGTGCTATGGGGGAAGATGATACAGGGAAAAAGTAAAATATGATAAATAAAATAAGACTGGATTGATAATGTGCCAAAATAAAAGGATGTATTTACCTGATGGTTTTCTTTCCAAGAATCTGATGTATAGTATACAGTTGATTCTTGAACAATGAGGGGATTGGGGCACCAACCCCTGCCCAGTCAAAAATCTGGTATAACTTTTATTGGTTAGTTGTTTGTTTGTTTGTTTGTTTGAGACGAAGTTTCGCTCTTGTCACCCAGGCGGGAGTGCAGTGATGTGATCTCAGCTCACTGCAACCTCCACCTCCCCGGTTCAACTGATCTTCCTTCCTCAGCCACCCGAGTAGCTGGGATTACAGCCACACACCATCATGCCCAGCTAATACTTGTATTTCTAGTAGAGAGAGGGTTTCACCATGTTGGCCAACTGGTCTCAAATTCCTCACCTCAGGTGATCTGCCCCCCTTGGCCTGCCAAAGTGCTGGGATTACAGGTGTAAGTCATCACGCTTGGCCGTGGTATAACTTTTGACTCCCCAAAAGCTTAACTACTAATAGCCTACTGTTGACTGGAAGCCTAACAGAAACAGCCTATTACACATATTTTCTATGTATTATATGCTATATTCTTATAATAAAGTAAGCTAGAGAAAATAAATGCAATTAAGAAAATCATAAGGAAAAGAAAATATATTTATAATACTGTACTGTATTTATCAATACTGTAAATTTACATCATCTGTTTACAAGATAAATGACCTGAAATTATGGGCAACCTAGCTGCAGACCTCAGTCTACAGATATCTATATATGGTGCTCTCTCTCTGTCTCTCTCTATATATAAAATATACATATATACATCTATCTATATGTGTATATATACATACACATACATATATGTATATACATACATACATATTTGAAAAACCTATATATATACATATATAATCTGTGTGTGTGTGTGTATATATATATATGTATATATATACAGTTACATATCAATCAATTCAACATTTTCTTTTTTTGTTTTGTTTTCTGATTTTCTCTCTCATACAACATTTTCTTGTAATGTCATGACTTTTCTCTGCTTGGAAGCACCTTTCACAGCATCACTGGTGGCACTTTGTATGGGCCCATGGTGTTACTCCAGGTTTACAGTATTGCAGTAAACATGGTTACAAAAATACATAAGAGCCACAAGAGATCAGTTTTTACTGTAATATGCAATTTACTGGAAGGACAAACTGCCCACAGGATGTCTAGCATCACACAGCATTTTAAGCAGATCCTCACAACACTTGAGCTCACAGGAGTAGCAGTCGGAGGTGGCTGTGAAATGATCCCATAATACAGCGTGTACTGCAGTTAATTTCATGCAGTTATGGTTTACTACTGCAGGCTTTGATAAATTTTTTATAATAGATCTGTATGTATTTTCTGGTAGCAAATGATAAAATAGACTACTATCCACATATATTTTATGCACTCATGAAACACCTAACATTTCTTAATTTTTTCAATATTTTAGGCTACATGGTTCAACTGTAAATTTTCTTCAAATTGCCACAAATCTCCCCAAAATTTTCCAGTATGCTAATTTTAAAAAATCCATGTATAAGTGTACTTGCACAGTTCAAACTTATGTTGTTCAAGGGTCAACTGTATATTTGTGTGTTTGCAACTCAGACCCTCAAAATACTAGTTATTCGTAAAAATATATACAAATGACCAATGGCAATGAAACATTGCATTTTGCAAAAATACAAAATTTGCATTTTTAGTAAAATACTGGCTCTATCATTTACTACCAAATGACAGTGTAATTCTCTCTTCTGTAAATCTGGATAATAACAGAATGAAAGTACCTACCTCATAAGGTTCCTTTTTTCTAATTTTTTTTCCCTTCTTTCAGTTTGACCCTTGAGGTTCTTATGAGGATTAAATGAGTTAGCACACATTAAAGACTTAGCAAAGCACCTGGCACATAGTAAACACTGTATGGATGCGCTGCTACAAGCACCACCCCCACCCCTGCTATCACTACAACCACCAATTTGATCAATTCTAAGGCACTTTTTTTTTCACTTTTTTTCTTTTTTGAGAAAGGGTCTCACTCTGTCATCCAGGCTGGAGTGCAGTGGCATAACCTCTGTTTACTGCAACCTCCATTTCCCGGGTTCAAGCAATTCTCATGTCTCAGCCTCCCGAGTAATTGGAATTACAGGTGTGTGCCACCACGCCTAATTTTTGTATTTTATTCTTTAGTAGAGGCAGGGTTTCACCATGCTGGCCAAGCTGGTCTCAAACTCCTGAATTCAAGTGATCTGCTCAATAAGGCACTTTTTTCTTAACGTTTAACATCTCTGAAAACAGGACGAGTGTTACATCCTACAGCAATTTAGAGTCAATGAAGTACAATAGTATTATGAAAACACCTTGCTTATATAATGCAGACTGGGTCACTGTAACTTCACAGACTAATTAGTGGCCAGTACATTGCTAAGCATCATAGCTAATCATTCGTTTTAAAAAAATGAATGTAACACCCACATACAAAAGTAAATACCCAACATTTATGCATAATTTAGCAAATTATTATAAACCAAACACCTGTGTAATTACCTTCAAATCAAAAAGCATATAACATCAGAAGCACCCAAAGCCTTCCTGTGTTTTCCCTGATCAGAATTGTCTCCCTTTTCCAAGTTAAGCATTAGTCTGACTTTTGTGGTAATGATTTCCTTACTTTTTGGCCAGGCGTGGTGGCTCACACCTGTAATCCCAGCACTTTGGGAGGCCAAGGTGGGCGGATGGCCTGAGGTCAGGTGTTCAAGGCCAGCCTGGCCAACGTGGTGAAACCCCATCTCTACTAAAAATGCAAGTGTCAGGCACCTGTAATCCCAGCCACTGGAGAGACTGAGGCAGGAAAATTCGCTTGAACCCGGGAGGCAAAAGTTACAGTGAGTCAAGATCGCACCATTGCGCTTCACTAAATAATATAGCTAAGCTTTGTCTAGTTTTGAACTTCATATGAATGAAGTAATTGCATATCTATTATATACACACATCCATACATAAATATCTACATATATTGTATTTTTGTCTTGCTTTTGTCTTTGAATATTATGCTTATCAAAGTCCATGTTGTTTTCTTGCACATGTATGTTTACTGCGGTATTGTTCACAATAGCAAAGACTTGGAACCAATCTAAATGCCAACCAATGATAGACTGGATAAAGAAAATGTGGCACATATACACTATGGAATACTATGCAGCCATGAAAAAGGATGAGTTCATGTCCTTTGCAGGAACATGAATAAAGCTGGAAACCATCATTCTCAGCAAACTGACACAAGAACAGAAAACCAAACACCACATGTTCTTACTCATAAGTGGGTGTTGAACAATGAGAACACATGGACACAGGGAGGGGAATATCACAAACCAGGGCCTGTTGGGGAGTGGGGGACTAGGGGAGGGATAACAGGAGATAGGGGGATAAGGGAGGGATAGCATTAGGAGAAATACCTAATGTAGATGATGGGTTGATGGATGTAGCAAACCACCATGGCACGTGTATAGCTATGTAACAAACCTGCATGTTCTGCACATGTACCCCAGAACTTAAAGTATAATAATTTTAAAAAAAAAGAAGAAATGAACTAACCTAAGCAACTTTGGAAAACATATGGTAGCTGGCTCCTGTGAGATTAAAGGAAAAAACTGTTTCTAAGCATTGCTTTCTAATTAACAAATTTGTTTTTCACAGAGGTATGGGTTAACAATTATGAAATTACTTTATATATATCCTAGATTTGATCAAATAATTAAATATATTGTAAATAATAAGAGCCAGAGTTGTCAATGTTACAGAAAAGAACTACAAATATAAAAAATAAATGAGGCTAGAATGAAAAAAGTAAAAGAAAGTCCATGTTGTTTTCTGTAACTGTCATTCATTCATACTACTGATCTATTGTGTTCTTCTGAATGAATGTACTACAAGAGATCCTTAGCCATTTTACTGTTGATGAACATTGGTTTGTTTCTATTTGGGGGCTATTCTGAATAATGTAACAATGAATATTTTAGCATATGCCTCCTGAAAAGCATATATAAATATTTCTATCAGGTAGAATTACCTTTACATGAGATTCTTGGTGAGGCTGTAAATTAAATTTATATTACAATTTTGCAACATTTTATTATGGAAATGTCAAACATATAGAAAAGTCAAAAGAATTTTACATTTAACACCTCTATGCCCACTATGTAGACTAATATTTTATTATACTTGCTTTATTACATATCTATGCATCTATCTATCCACCATTCAATCTTGTTGATCACTTACAAGTGATCAGCATCATTAAGTACCCTAATGCTACTAAAGTGGGATCACAACTCCCCACCCCTGCAATTTCCCTGCTTTATGTAAATTCATAAATTTTTTTTTCAGTTACTAACGTTTTATCAGAAGATAAATTATGAAGGAACAGATGATTACTTTGGAATGCAGTAAGTATGACTTTTAAAATAACTTTCTCAGTATCAAATATCCTATTCAGGTTATTGATTTGTAGGTATTCTTTTATTTAAATGGCCATATAGCCTTTTAAATATTCAAATTTCAAATTCCTTTCAATGGCTGGATAGATGTAAAATTAGCATTTAACTGTAAAAAATGTAAAATACTCTTCGTAGTTTAATAAGCAACATGACCTATCTGAAGTTCTCATTCATCCAAATGAAGACGCCAAAAAAATGGGCTATTTCTTAACTGAATAATTTTCAAACATGTTTTATCACCAGTTCTCATCTCAAAGTATCTACATACCATCACTAGCAAAAACAGGAACTCTGGTATCACAGAAACTCTTTAGCTACGTGTAGAACCAGATAAAATGCCATCTTTGATCCTGCAGTAAGGTTGCAGCTAGGCTACCTGAAGGAAGACAGCCCACCTGGAATTCTGTGTTAAGGCATTCCTATGGCTATCATTACAGCCTGGAAGTATTTTCTTGGAAAAATAGCATATTTTCCCTAGGAAAATCCATTTTTCTTTGGTCTGGTGCTACTCCAACTGAGTTTGACTACCTACGCTATGCCAAGCACTTTCTAGGTATTTAAAATACATGGTAAACGAGAAAGATGAAGTTCTAATGTCATGGAACTCATTTTCCAGTAGGAACAGCAAATTATCAAATAAGTAATTCCAAATACTGGGAAGTGCTATGAAGAAAAGAAAACAGAAATATATATATATATATATATATATATATCTCAGTGATAGAGACTGATGAGGAAAAGTAGGGAGAAGATGCTGCTTCAGACTCCATAGCCAGGAGAGGCTCAGTTCATTCCTTTCCCCTTCATCCACCAACTTACCTCTTCATGCTTCTAATGGTGTAGGTTCCTTTGGATATTTTTGTTTTGTGGGTATTTACTAAGATTTACATTGCTATAGAATACAAATAGAACTGCCCAGGGTATTTTTTATGTTTGCTTGTCCACAGTTTTGTTTTTTGTTTTTTTTTTGACAAAAACCAACCTTCGCAGGTGTTGGTATAAATCAAACGTTCAGATTTTCTTGTATTATTTTTTAGCCCTCACATTTTGCTTGAACACAAAATGATTCATGTGCACTTCATAATGGAGAAAGGCATGATATCTGACCTAGCTTTCAATCCCAGTCAGATTATATTACACAGCTGAATGTGGCTCAGAAAACTAATTTGACAACTCACTCTTTATGGCTCCAAAGGTGTTACCAATATGCGGGGAAAACGTGCAGGGGCCAGAGGAGGAACCCACACAGTAGTTGCTACCTTCAGGCAGGTCAAGATGTCAGCAGCACAGCCCCATTTTCCAGGGACTATGTTAACGAAATAGGGTGGCTGAAATGCTGGTAGGATGCTCATTTCTGTTTCCCATCCCATGAACCCAATGGTGGCCAAAACCTGGGATTCCATGAGGTGGGATCCACTTTACAATTTACAATATGACCACCACACAGAGCTGCCTTAGCAGAAGCAGAGAGGTGTTACCACCAGCACTATCCCCCAGGCCTCAAGAAATTTGTGTGGGAGTTCAATCACATAGTGCACATGGGACTTTGCATATAATCTACAGAAAGATAGTATCATGCCTATCTCTCACATGATCTAATAAACTGCACGGATTGTTTTTCCTAGAGACAACAACACGGGGCTTGTGATGATTCAAGTTCGACCTAGTGAATATTCAAAAGCATGTTCAGTACCCCAAAAGGTGAGTGACATGGGTCAAAGGCCCAAATATTTTACTTCAAGAATGTATAGGTGGTAAACCAAATAATGCATACAATACCTCCATACAATACCGCTCTCCTATTAATTAGCAACTCTGTGTAATTTTCCACTGTAAAGATAGCATCATTTTGGCTGGGCAGGGTGGCTCATGCCTGTAATCCCAGCACTTTGGGAGGCCAAGGTGGGCAGATCAACTGAGGTTAGGAGTTCGAGACCAGCCTGACCAACATGGAGACACCCTGTCTCTACTAAAAATATAATATTAGCCAGGCGTGGTGGCATATGCCTGTAATCCCAGCTACTCCGGAGGTGAGGCAGGAGAATTGCTTGAACCCAGGAGGCAGAGGTTGCAATGAGTCAGGATCACACCATTGCACCCCAGCCTGGGCAACAACAGCAAAACTCCGTCAAAAAAAAAAAAAAAATAGCCTCATTTCATTTTGAAGACAGAAGATTTCTGCCCTCTGTGAGTTTATCACCTAAAGCAGGATATATAAACACATACAAAAATGCAAAAGTATTCGTTTCTGAAGTTATAAAGATATATAAAATTGTGTAAAGGAAAACTGAAAATTAGCGGGAATGACACACGTTGGATATGGTTTGTCAAAGAAGACTGCCGGTCACAGCCATCTATTTCTTCAAAAATCATTTATTCATATTTTTTTTAATGAAAAAGATCATTTATTCATTTAAAAAAGTGTATTGTATGCCTACTCTGTTTCCGTGTTTCAGCCTATGTGCTGGGTAATGGGAGTTACAAAGATAAAATGACAGAGTACCTTCCCTAGAGGTAAATATAAACTAGCTTAAGAGAACGAGGTATACACAGTTCTCAAATAGCCCAGAAGAAAGCAAACTAAGGAAGCTTCCTGTGGTTGGGAGGGAAAAGGTGGAAAGAAAGGGATACACAAAATGCCCAGTGATGGATAAGTAGACATTCGGCAGGCAGATGCAAAACATTTCCAGGAAAAGGCAGAGAAGATTGAAATAGGATCAGAGTATTCGGGTAACTGAACTTATTATTATTATTATATATTATATTACATTATGTTATTGTGAAATGAAACCCAAATTCTTAACAATGCCTCTTCTGAGTCTATGTTTCACACTTGTCTCCTCTCTTTATTACTTCTCAGCCTAACATTCAATAAACATATACTGAGCACCTATTATATACCAGTATCAGGCATTGTGTTATATATGGGGAATACAAAGTCAAATAGGACCTGGCCCCTCCCAGTCAGAACCCCGACATGAGGAACCTGTGTTCCTACCAGGGCAGCGTTCCATACATTTAGAGGGAGCCTTGAACTGAGGCAGACATGATCCATCCTTGGGCACTGCGGACACACACTGCTTCCCTAGGAAATGGCCTGCAGTTGCACACCAACAGCTCCCCTGTCTGCCTACCACATGCCAGCTTACCCCACGCGGGAAGTAAAAAACCACAACCTAGCAAGTTCCTGCCCTAGCCTAGTCTGCATTTTTTATCTTTAACTGCTTTTACCCTCTCCCTTTAGGATGCCCTCCCAAAACACCATGGTTTCCTCCACACTTCTCTAACCTGTAGATTTGTTAGGGATCCCTATTCATTCTATCCTGCCCAGCCAAGACATTACAAAAGCAGGTTCATCTAACCAGAGTTCAGATCCATGCTCTACTGCCTGCTGGCTTGGGTGGGCTACTTACTCTGAGCCTCAGCTGTCACATCTCTAAAAGGGGGATGTACCATCTATTTTATGGGGTTGTTGAGAGTATTAAATGAGATTTTCGTATAAAGTACTCAAAACAATGCCTATTACACAGCAGTTATCTAATATACTGGCATCTTCCTTTGTTTCCTCTCTGGTACCCTGCAGAGATGGACAGGTCAAATCTAGCCACCCCCTGTGCCCACTGCAGATACTTTGTCCTGACCTACCCACTGAAATAGAATGAAGAAAGATGCAGTAGCCCTTTCAGGCAACAGGAAAATGTGGCCTTGTGGAGGCAGGTCCTCTAATCAGCCAAGGAAATCAAAACATGTATGCAACTACGAAGTATACCTTCAAACACAAGCTCCCTTCCTTGTGCTCCCATACTCATGACTTAGCAGGCCATCAGCCTCCCAGATAAATATTACAGAGAAATAGGAACCAGATCTGTGTATACACAGAACCACGGCCTGCAGACTTAGCCCACTGCATGAAGTTAGGCCCTTGCTAAACCTGCTGGACCAAATGGACCTGGACTGCACTATTTGAACAGGAGCCTACTGTCTTTGTCATTTAGTCTTCATAGCCTGCAGCAGAGCAGCAAATAGAACTGGCAGCTCCAACAAGACTTCATCTCACTCTTTAACCATGCATCGAGAACTGGAAATGCAGAAATGTAGGGCAGCCCCCAGAGGGCCTTAGTGAATCCCTCCAATATGAATTTTTCCAGGGAGGGATGACTACAACTTTGTCCAATGCATTATCTAACAGCATTTGTGTTGAGGGCCTTTAGAATCCCTGTCTCAGGTCAGCTAACCTGTCTGGTTAGAAGAAATATGCTGTGTCCAACTCTTGGTTAAGGCAGGAGCTGTCCTGCTCCAACTCTGCACTGAGGAGAAATGTGTTCATTTAGGCTCTATGTCAGAATCTCTCTAATTAGGTGTCCAGTTCTGGGGAATATGTGTCAACCCTGCAGCAGTGGGTACTCTAGAAAACAGGATCATTCGTGCTCCCCACACTGTACCTGTAACTCCTTTTCAATATCCACCTACAGGTTAACTCATGTTTTCAATCCTAGCCATGGTTATTGGTCCTGAGGCATGGGGTGATTTTTGTCAACTAGGACAAGAAAGAGAAGAAATATTGCAAATGAGATCATCAAGTAATGGTGGGTCCTGACCATGACAGTTCGAGCGCTTCAGTCACCCCTTACATTATATGGATAATTCAGTAAGCATAAAGGGCAAAGCAATGATTCTGATCAGGAAAGCGAAGATTTAATGATGGTGGTGCTGAGGACTGTGGGTAGAGTTGTCGAGAGACCAAATCAGGCCCTGTGCATGAAACCAAGTGGCCCAGAAGATAAAATCCATGAACTCCCACTGTGGAGCATGCCTTTGACGTAAAGACTAGAAGGTCTTGGTTTAGCAGTGTCAACTCTTCATGTCCACCAAACTTGGCTGGATATCATTCTTCTTCCCCACCCTCCTGACCCCCAAGTCCTTCTCATAGGCTAGGGAGTATTAGGGTTTTTTCAGATTTGCTTTGTGGAAATGTGCAACACCCAAGGACATGCTTCAGGCAGAATGTCTAGACCCTTACATTCTGGGTCAGGTAGCAGTGGAAGTAGCTATCCCATTTGGAGGGAGAAGCAGGACTGTGGTTACAAAGAAGTAATGACTCTCTGACTGGAAAATTGACAGTTCTTATAAATAAATCTAAAGCATTCATCCACTTTATTTTTGACTCTCACTATCTTTGTAAGCCTTCCTTTAATGTCTATATAGTAATTAACTGTATTTTAGTTTCATGTAACCTGTATATTATTTTTAAGCAACATATACCTACACATTGCAAGCAGGGTAAGAGATTTTGCAACAGTTCATTTTCCTAATAACTGAGATTTAATGAAGCGAATAGTCTCATCTTTAGATACAATGCATTCCAGCTACCAGACATAGCCATCTTCTTAGAAACGTTCTATGAAATTCTATTTTAATTTTTGTGTGTAATATTCATTCTACCCTGTTCTTACTGTAAAAGTATTGAATCTGTTAAAAAAGAGAAGGTAAAAATTGCTACTAACACTAGGGGTATATTTGGGGATAGAAGCAATATACTTACTGCATCAGATTCCAGTGGGATTTTATTTGGTTGAGAATTAGCCTTTTCCATATCAAATGCCCTTCTTGGGCATTTCCAGCCCACGAAACAAAGCATCATGACGCAGCCTGTCTACATGATGCCACTGTTTGATTTTGCACTTGCCTTTCTCCACTGTATCTCCAAAGTTTACTTACAGAGGAGCACGGGCTGTGTTAACAAAGCTCTCGTATCCACAGGTCATTTGTTTTCAAACAAAGCACGTATGTGCGTTTCTTTTAAAAAGCAATTACGAGTAATGTTTAGAATAAATATCCATAAAATGAGGACAGTGGTTTAATATTTAATAATTAGCCTGTGGCCAGTCCTCCTTTGAAGACAGAGTATTGCTGCCTAAAGCAGGAATAACAACAGTAAGATGCATTTCACGTGATGCTCAGTACCCTGAGAAACTGCAGATCTACTAACGTGAAAACAGAAAGTGAAATTAGTAGCTGGATGGATTCTAGAAACCTGCTGGCCGAGTCAGAGGTACAAACTGGGAGAAGGGAGTTGACAGTCATGGTTGTAGAGAAGCACTTAAAAGATGAGTTTGGGCCCAGCGCGGTGGAATCTGTAATCCCAGCACTTCGGGAGGCTGAGGCGGGTGGATCACATGAGGTCAGGAATTCAAGACCAGCCTGACCAACATGGTGAAACCCTGTCTCTCCTAAAAATACAAAATTAGCTGGGCGTGGTGGTGCATGCCTGTAAGCCCAGCTACTTGGGAGGCTGAGGCAGGAAAATTGCTTGAACTTGGGAGGCGGAGGTTGCAGTGAGTTGAGATTGCACCGCCGCACTCCAGCCTGGGTGACAGCGAGACTCTGTCCCCACGACCAAAAAGATGAATGTGGATCAATTATTCCCTAAGATACAAGCATAAGAAAGGAGAGACCCAAACTTTGGGCCTCCTGAGCAGTAAAGACAAAAGGAAGCAAAGAAAAAAAGTGATCAAAGAAAGCGGAGGAAAACAGTGCAGAGCAGTAATATAAGAGAACCCTACATTTTAAAAGTTATTATTTTAAAATAAAAAATGTAATTGGTTTTAGCTGGCATAATATTTTGCATCATGTGAATTAGAACCGCTGAACTCACTACCTAAGTTACTTCATTTTAGGTGTTCCAAATAGCTGTTGGCTGTGATAATAAAAAATTCATTGCAGTTAAGGGGTAAGTATGTTTCCATTTGACCTGTGTTACTCTTTCAGTTTTAAAACAAATGTTGAACTAAATGATAATTACTAATGATAAAAGCGTAATGATTGACACATCCACAATGAAACCAATTGATGTTCGTGTCTAGATTCAATTGGTTTAAACTTTTTGCCAAATCAAATACTATATTTGAATCATACTAAAAATAAAAAGAATTAGCCTCTTTCTCTATTACCAGCATTTTTTTCACCTTTCCTTTTAATAAGCCAGTTTCTATCCTTTATTGTTGCCTCTCTCAATCCTTCAGTCGACAACTCATTCCCAGAAAAACCCAGAGAAGCACCTGTTTTCCATCCTTCTCAAACCAGTTATAATTTCATTTCCATTAGAGAACTGCATCCATCCATATCAGAGAAGCCTCAGTTTTCTGCACCATTTTCTATGGGAAATTTCTTAGAACAAGCCTAGCAGAACCACAGTGATTGCTCTAGAGAATCCTAAAGTGTGAATTCTGTCGGTTTTACTATGATTCACAATGAAGCACATTGGACTCTGTGTCTTCCATTCACCATAGCTCTCTTTCTTCTACGTGGAAGAAATTCAAAGGCAGCATACAGAAATCTGTTTAGCTGAGGCTAAATGTATACAGAGACAGAAATTTATTGTGATTCCTTTCCTTTTGTTGGAAGTGGGAGGGAGAGTGGGGGAACATTCACTCTTATCTATTTATGAAATTACTTACTTGCTGTCTTCCAAAACAAATGTCCACTCCTCTGTCATTCTAATAATCTTGTGATTATTACTGAGTTGTATTAATCAGTTGCTGGATTGATAATCAAGTATTTGCATCTCATTCAGCATTTCCTAAATTCGCATTTCCTAACATCTTCGTACCTGTAATTCCTTTCCCAGGAAATGCACAAAGGCTAGCTGATTTATACAGCCTGTATCCTCCTGTTTCAGGGAGGACTTACATCTTTGCTCCTTAGATTACGGCCTGTGGACCAACACTGGCATCACCTGAGAGCTTGCTGGAAATGCAGATTCTCAGGCCCCATCCCACAGCTGCTGCATCAAAATCTGCATTTTAACAAAATTTCCGGGAGATTACGAGGGACATTAACATTTGAGACTAACTGCTCTAAACATATTACCAAAATTAATTCCCAGTACTGCTGCATGCAGAATTCCTTCTCAGGCCCCTGATTTCCTTCCAAAGTGAGATGGAGAGTAGCTTGAAGCAGTCTGTTTCTAGACGGGTCCAAATAGTAATTATCCAGCTTAGTTACTCATCAGAATCACTTGGAGAACATGTTTTAAAAACACAGATTTTAGGACTTTACTCTGGGCCTCTTGGTCAGTGACCCACTTCTCTGGAACCCTAAAACTCTAGTATCTTTGGCTCAGGTTGCAGCGGGCCTATGGTTTTTATGGTCACCAAGGGAGAACTGGAAGAGCATGGGGTCCAAGACACTTCTGGAGAGCCAGGAGACTTGTCAGTGAAGGACAGTTGTCAACTCTTGGGGTTCAATTTGGGTTCAGCATGAGGGATGGTCTCAACTTCCAATATCTATCTAAAAACGGCAGTGACGAGAGTTCTTTCTAAGTTACATTGGAAGCAGCCAGCTAAAATGGTCAGATGAATAATTTACCTAACTAAAAACTTCTGTCATTTCAAAGACCATATAGCCTTCTTCTGTCTGCATGAACCCTAACCAGAAATTATGTTAACTCTTAACATAACTTCTTACCTGCACAGTCTCAAGGAGCAACTAGAAATCTTGGGTTTAAAAAAAGTTTATGTCTAATAAAACAGTCCAAACAAATTTGCTTTCATTTTGATAGATTTTCTATGAGTTTTTATTTTTATTTGTGTGTGCCTGTGCATGTTTTACCATAGCTGCTTTTTTTAAATTTTTATTTTTATTTTTTAGAAATCAGATGTAAAATCTGTTCTGTAACACATAGCTGCTTTTAAAAAAGTGTGATGAAATTCACAGAATATAAATTTACCAGTTCAATGGAATTAAGTACCTTCAGAATGTTGTGCAGTTAGCACCACTGTCTAGTTCCACAATATTTTTGTCACCCCAAAAGGAAACTCTGTACCCGATTAGCAGTCATCTCCCATTCTCCCTTTCTCCCAGCCCCGTAATCTGCTGTCTCAAAATCATAATCTCCATGGATCTGCCTGCTCTGAATAGTTCACATAAATGGAATCATACAGTGTGTAACCTTTTGTGTCCCACTGCATTACTTAGGCTGTTTTTGAGATTCAACTGTGTTGTAGCATGTATTAGTCCCTCATTCCCTTTTATGGCTGAGTAATATTCCATTGAATGGATATACCACATTTTGTTTATCTATCCAGCAGTTCAGGGATATTTGAGATGTTTCTACCTTTTGGCTTTTGTGAATAGGGAAGCTATGAATATTTGTGTACAAGTGTTTGTTTGAACAACTGTTTTGAATTACTGTGGGTATGTACCTAGGAGTGGAATTGCTAGGTTGTATGGTAATCCTATGTTTAACTTGTTAAGGAACCTCCAAAGTATTTTCCAAAGCAGCTACACTGTTTTACATTATCTCTAGCAACATATATGGATTCCAGTTTCTCTGCGTCCTTGTCAACCCTTGTTTCTTTCTGTTTTGGAGGGTTTTCGGTTTTTGTTCTGAATTGACAGATAAAATTGTACGTATTTAGCGTGCACAACATGCTGTTTTAAAAATACATTGTGGAATGACTGAATCTAGCTAATTAACATATGCATTACCTCACATAGTTATTATTTTGGTGGCAAGAAAACACTTTATATTTATTCTCTTTGCATTTTTCAAGAATACAATGTATCATGAACTAAAGTCATTATGTTGTACAATTAGGTCTCTTGAACTTACTCCTCCTAACTAATTCAAATTGTCTATCTTTTGAGCAACCTCTCCCCAAGCCCTACATCTTCTATAAATTTTTAATAAGCATGTACCAAATATAATAGATAAATAGGTAGATTTCAAATTCTTGTATCTCCTGAAACATTTACGAAACTGATGTTTTAAAAACAGAAATACTAAGGCCACACACTAACCAGAGATTCTAAGTCTGTGGATGATGATTCTGTGACACTCTCCAGTTTGAGAATCATTGAGTTAAATGATTAAATGTTTGTGCAAATATATAAGAAATAATGATATTACAACTTCATTATGTTTTGTTTTTTGTAGATTTAGTAAAAAAGGATGTCCTCGCCATGATTTTTCTTACGTGATTGAAAAGTAAGAAATTTTTTAACATAAGCACTGAGTTTTATATTAACATAGTACCAATACTTTACAGTCAGTAGTTATTCAGTGGATTACTATTAGCATCTGTGTATTTGGCTGGACAGTGGGCAGTCAGTTTTAGCACTAAGTAAAATGTGTACATGGTACCAATTAACTTCTCTGAAACATATAAGAAAAAGAGTCAGTCTCCCCCTTCAATTTAATTGGATAAACAAAGCAAGCCTCATTTATATATACGTAGTCTCAAATCCCATATTGTTCCCTCTAATTTAAGGAAGACATACAAGAATGTCTTTCCCTACATAATTTTTCTCAAATTCTACATGACTGAAGCCAGGTGCAGTGGCTCATGCCAGTAATCTCAGCACTTTGGGAGGCCAAGGCGAGTGGATCACCTGAGGTCAAGAGTTCAAGACCAGCCTGGCCAACATGGCAAAACCCCATTTCTACTAAAAATACAAAAAATTAGCCAGGCGCGGTGGCTCAAATTCTACATGACTGTAGTTCAGCCAGTTAGAAGTAATATATTTACCCGGAAAGTCCTGACATCAACTAACTGAACTTTTTTCTAGATTTTATATTTAATTTATATTTAATTGTATGCATATTTATTTTTATTAATGTGATGTATTAAAGATATAACTAAACACAATTCTACTTTTACTTTTGTAAGACAAAGATCTTCATTTTTAAAATGTTAAATATTTATTTGACTGTCAAAATATAGAAGTCCACAGCCTCTGAAATTAAATGCTATTTAACTAAAATAAATGAAAGACTGTTTAACCAGTAGGCATATTCTTTAAGTGATTTCGTTAATGAAGGCAGGGTGGAGGAGTGCCACAACCTAGATGCTCCAGGTTACAGTGCTTGGTGAAAGCAGTCAGTGAAACACAAGGATGAGAAGAAAATGTGTAATAGTTGGTGAGGGTACCACCTTTCAGTGTCTAGGTGGCAACTGTGCCTGAAAGGCAAGAATACGAAATAGACTCTACCACTGTGATGGGAGTTTCCTGAGTCCGTCCCCTGGAGTGTGGTAAAATATATGGAACATGTGGCTGGTAACAGTGATTCAAGTGTGAGAACTGAGAAGACGGAATGTGAGGGAGGTGATTTTGAAGGAATAAGTCCTTGAGTTCATGAACGTGAAGCATTCCGCTACAGCGAGAAATCTAAATGAGGAAATGTCTCAAGTTTTAAAACACACATCTAGTGTTACTGATTCTGCAGTATCTTATTCTTTTATCTGCTAATATTCTGGAAGGAACTGCACTGGAATAGCACAATGGACATGGGCTTTATCATCACCCGTCCTTCTCAGTGGCAAAGGAAGGTTTGCAGCCTTGAGCGAGTTTCACACAATTTCGAATAGTATGAGACCTACAAAGAGAGGACAGTAATTCACACCTGAGTTGTTGTAAGAACGTGTTAATATGTGTGGAAATCCATGTGGAAAGTGCCTGAAACATAGTAATTGCTCAGTATCTTACATTTATCTACTTGACCTTTGTGATACCTCCTTACCTAAACAAAGTCATGTGTTTAGTTTTTAAGTTTGAAAAGAGGAAAGAGAAATAAATAATGATGAATATCTTTTTTACAGGTCATATCTGAGGCATCCACTGTCTAAAAACTTGGTAAGAAACTATAAAATTTTGTCAGTGGACCAAATCTGTAAAAATCACTAAAGTATTTTTCCTTTTCTAGAAAGTAAGGTATAATTGGAAAGAATACGGCTGCCCCCTGAGGCTTGAGTTCACAGAAAAGTTTCACCCTTTGGTTCAATTGTAAGTATATTCTCATCAACATTTTTAACTTATATTGAAACTTTCAAACTAAAAGTATGAAAACAAGACTGATCATGCGTCTAACGATACGCATTTTGGCTACTCAGCATGTGCGAGACTTAGTTTTCAGTACTAGTTATACAAAGCTGGGCGGTGACGGTGCCTGCATGTTGAGGGACATTGCAGTTTGGCAGCTGAGATTTCAATGGGGAAGAGAGCTGAGAGCCTGTCTTAAGAAAGCCCTTGCCTTATCCCCTCTGAATCTCTCCCCAAGCTCCTACCAGCACCCCTATCTATTTGGTAGGAACTACCCTCTCCAAGTGATAAAACTCCTCTTTCCACAAGCCAGTAATAAATGAAAGCTTCTAAGGAAGGAAGCTAGATTTCTGACAAGTACACTGAGGACATTTCAAAAATATTATTATTCCTAACTCAGTTCTTACAGATAATATTTCAGCCAGGCACTGTGGCTCACGCCTGTAATCCCAGTGCTTTGGGAGGCTGAGGCAGGATGGCCTGGGCCCGGGAAATGGAGATCAGCATAGGCAACATAGCAAGACGCCGTGGTTACAAGAATTAAAGTAATTAGCCAGGCGCGGTGGTGTGTGCCTGTGCTCCCAGCTGCTTGGGAAGCTGAGAGGGGAGGATCACTTGAGCCCAGGAGGTAGAGGGTGCAGTGAGCCAAGACTGTACCACTGCTCTCTAGCCTGGGTAATGGAGTGAGACCTTGTCTCAAAAAACAAAAACAAATAATATTTCATCATAAAAATATGAATGAAATGCTATTGAGAAAACATTTCCAAGTAATTTTCTATTTGCTTTCTTCTCTGGCACTATTCTTTAATTCTTGGTTTATTCTTATAGAAGTGACACAGTTTGTTACAAAATTTAAAATATAGAAAGAATATGAGGTAAATGACTCATATTTCTAAATTGTTTGCTGTTGTAAATAGATAATGAAGAATATTCATTCGTGTACATGTTTGGACAGTAGCCCAGGTATGCTGTTAAGACAGATTGCTGGAAGTAACATTCCCATGTCTAAAATACCAAAAAAATTTTTTAGTCAAGGCTTTCAGCTTTTGGGGACCTCTTAGGCTGCAGACAGTTTCTGAGATCTCTCAAGATGGGTAGATACAGAAGTAATGAATCAGGCACTCCAATTTAGTTTTGCTACCAGAACTGTCCCCACTGGGGTCCTGGAGGCCTCCACCAGCATGGTCTGGCCTCTACCCCTTGCCCATGGCACTTCTGAGATTCTGCCATGCCCTTTCCATCTTTTTTTTTTTTTTTTTTTTTTTTTTTGCGACGGAGTTTCGCTCTTGTTACCCAGGCTGGAGTGCAATGGCGCGATCTCGGCTCACCGCAACCTCCGCCTCCTGGGTTCAGGCAATTCTCCTGCCTCAGCCTCCTGAGTAGCTGGGATTACAGGCACGCGCCACCATGCCCAGCTGAATTTTTGTATTTTTGGTAGAGATGGGGTTTCACCATGTTGACCAGGATGGTCTCGATCTCTTGACCTCGTGATCCACCCGCCTCGGCCTCCCAAAGTGCTGGGATTACAGGCGTGAGCCACCGCGCCCGGCCGCCCTTTCCATCTTCAATCATACTCCAACAGTCTGCGTCAGGGCTCTCCGTGCCGTCCGGCTAATCTGCTTGCTTTCTTAGCTTTGATCTTCTTCTAGATATCTAATCATGTCACTGCTTTTCCTGGACACCCAAAGCACAGCTTTCCCTGCCAGAGGCCTAGTCTGTTTGGGTTTTTGTTTTTAGTTATATCATGCTTAACCCCCGCAGGGTTAAAAGATCTTAATCTCTCTCGGAGAAGTATACTCTCAGTTCATCATTACTAAACAGCTGCTTTGCACCAAGTACTGTGCTAGGCCCTGGAAATTGAAAGATGAGTGACAGGATTTCTACCCTCAAAAACAGAAGAGTCTGATAAAGCAGATAAACATATGCACAGATATGCTAAGTGTAATGATAGAATGGAGCAGTGTGGGTGGTTGGTATTGAAACTCAAAAGATTCCAACCCAGCTATAAAGAGAGTGGGGCTCTGGGAAATGTTCCAGAAGACTTGCATTTGAGCTGAGTCACTGAGTTTTGCTAGAGGCAGAGGAGGGAAGGAGAGAAGTGGAGAGAGTAATGTTGAATTCTGCTGGGTAAGCCTTTTAAGTAAAACAGATAGTTGGAGGAAGAAAATGTATAGTTCAAGCAATGTGATATTGTTGAGGCATAAAGTAATCCTGAAGTCTCAGGAGAAGCCAGGAACCTAGCTAGGTCGATTCCAGACCACAGGAGGCCTTCTATCAAGTCTTACGGTAGAGGAGCATGATCAAATATTTGCTTTAGCTGGTTCCCTCTGGGAGAGGTGTAGAGGATGAATTTCAGAGAAACAAATCTAAGTAGGGAGACCAGCCAGTCAACTGTATTGGTAGTCCCGGTGAGGACTTGTTTTCACAACCCTGCAGATCAAAACAAGATGTAGACAAGAAACTGGCCAAAACCAGCCAGGACTTGGAATTATAATGCATTTGCATAAGACATGCCCAGCAGCACCATGACAGCACAAATGCCATGGCAATGACTCAGAAGTTTTCTTATATGGTTCCAGGAAGTCCCTGCCCCTTTACTAGAAAATTCCTGAATAGCCGTCCCCTTATTTAGCATATATTTAGGAGTATAGATTATAGCTAGCCAGCAATCTATGAGTGCTCCTCTGCCTATAGGATAGCCCTGCTCCATCTACAGAGCAGCCATTTTGCTGTACACTTTGCTCTAATAAGCTTGCTTGCTTTTACTATCAGCTCACTTTTGAATTATTTCCTGAGCAAAGCCAAGAACCCTCCCAAGCGGAACCCCAAGTTTAGGGTTCACCTGCATCACTAAGAAGCGAAAACAGACGACTGAAATAGCAACAAGGACAAAGAAGAATCCTGTATAAGAAAATCAGTGATTCTATAAACCAGGGCCTCTCGGGGGGTGAGGGCAAAGGGAGGGATAGCATTAGGAGAAATACCTAACGTAGATGGCAGGTTGATGGAGGCAGCACACGTATTCCCATGTGACAAACCTGCACGTTCTGCACATGTATCCCAGAACTTAAATTTTTTTTTAAAAAGAAAGAAAATTAGTGATTATAATAGGCAGGGCTGGATAATGGATAGATGTGGGTGGTAAGGGAAAGAGAAGCAGGAAGATGAATGACTCAGAGGTGACATCAGTTAGAAGGGATCCTCCACAAACTTCCACCACCATATCTGTCCATCTTCAAGAAAATGTTCCAGGAGCTCTGTCTGCCCTCCTGTTACTACAGATGAGCGGTCTGGGTGTCTGTCTCAGGCCTGTCCCTCCGTTTGTAAGCTAGGTCCCCACTGGCTTTCCTAATCAAGAACACTACTCCTGAAATTCTCTTCCTCTTTCTCCTGCATCATCAACTTTTCCCTCTCTGCTGACTCATCATACAAATATACAGGTCTTTCTCCTACCAAAACATAAAGCAAAACAAATTCAACAAACACAGTCACAAAAAAAACAAACAAAACCATGTCTTTACCCTACTAGCCCTTCAGCTTCTGTGGTCACTGTCATCAGCTCTTCTTCCATCCTCTCCCAGCTCGCCCTCAGTCTGGCATTTGTGCTCACCACTCCATTGCACTGCCAGCCAAAATGATCAGTGACGTCTATTCAGCTAAACCAGTGGTCAATGCTCAGGTCCCACCTTCCTTGATCTCATTAACAAGAATTGACACAGTTAGGCATTTGCTCCTACTTGAAACATGTTCTTCATCTGGCTTCCAGGATAGCTCATTCTCCCATTTTCCTGCTTCTTTGCTGGTAGCACCCCCCTAATTTCTTATTTCCTCTCTGATTTCTTTTTTCTTTTTCATGATCTGGGATTTTGTTTTTAATTTTCTTAAGTCTTATGATCACCTATAACTTATAATTTTGTATATATCTCCTCTACTTTAATCCTTCTAATAAGTTGGCAAAGCACCATTGCCAATCACACATAACAGAGAATAGCTGTTTAAGACAATCCTAGTTAAAACTTAGTCTGACTTAGTAAAGAGCTTGAAAGCAGTTTAACTTGCAACTATTTCTTGTCACAATGACTCTTAAAAGGTGACAAGTGTCATCTATAAATGTGAGAAGTGTTTTTATTTGATATTACACATAAACCATTAAAATGCCTTTTAATAAGTAAAAGGCAGCATTTTAGATACAGGGAATTCTAATTAGGTTAGCAGAGTTAAGACGAAAACATAAACAATGCGACCTTAAGCCCTTGTCTTTCACGGGCAAATGAACACAAATTAAAAAACAGGTGAGTCTTGCTCAGTTCTGACACGGTGCAAGGATTTCTCCAGTATTAAAATATATTCATACTAAAATATATTCATATAACTTTAGTCATACACATCAAACTACAAATCAGTCTCCAATAGGTTTGGGAATGTCATTCTCCTCTTTGTGAAAAATTGAACATGACTCATCAGGTCCAATCATATCCTTAGAAGGGGAAACACGGATAGCATTTACCGAGTCCAAATTACTGTCAAAATTCAAAAAACTGATCATGTTCCTTTAACCAGAAGCCAGTCTTACTTATCAGGGCTGTCCAACAAAAATATTCTGCCAGTCATTCGTGAGCTGAATTCTGGTGTATGGAAGCAGGTACACTGCAGTACACATGAAGTCATGAGATAAGTCTGGTTTGTGAGTAAATAAGGCCGTGGCCAATTCTTTCTGCCTTCTTTTTAGCACCAGTGGAGATCATTTTTGTCCCAGGGATGTACTTCTTGGGACTCTCCAATTGCACCATCCATGTCTCCTCTCCATAGATGACACCTTTGTTCTCACTGGTGTCTGTGGAAGAGGATCCAGACACCTCATCTGTCTTCCACCCACAGAGACCATGGAGACTGGGCCCAGTCTTATGCTTGCCTCCCTTTTCTGCGGCGTGGCACTGGACACACTTCTAAACAAAAATATGTTTGCTTTTTTCAGCATCACCCATATTTAATTACCTCTTTTGTCACTCACAGGACAAAGGTTCCCCCCTCATAGAAGCTTGGCCCTCCTCCCTCCACCCCTACCCCTTACCCCCCTCCTTCCCTCCCTCCCTCCCCACCCCCGTCTCCCTCCCACCCTGGCCTCTTAGTGTTGGGATGCCCCAAGGCTCAGGGATTTCTTTTCTTTTCTGCATTTTAGCTTTCTCTTTGAATGTCATCATCCAGTCGCATGGGCCTAGATGTCTCAATAAATTGATGTACCCCAACACTGCATCTACAGCCTGACCATCTCCCCTTGTATCCATCAAGTATGCTTAGGCTATGCTGTAGTAACAAATAAACCCTAAAATCCCAGTGCCTAGCTCTCCATGTCATAGTCTGATATATGGAGCAACATCATCTGGACATGGTCCCTCCACGTTTGCCGCCGTGTGTGGGAAAAAGACTGGAGGATTGTATGGGATGTTGTAAAGGCCCACAACTAGAGGTGGTTCCACCCACATCCCTTATCCAGAACCTATTGCCATGGCTCAAATCTAAATGCAGAGTGGTCTATAAAACGTAAAAACGTAAACACATACAGTTCCTGAACCCCAGACTCACACATCCACTGAGATGTTAAATACACATATCACTTTTCCACTTAGATGTTGGATAGATATATCCAACGTAACCTGTCCAGAACTGAACTTTTGATCTTCCCCTGAAAACCTGCTCCACCAGTAGCCTTCCCTATTTTAAGTGATAGCAACTCCATCCTTCTTGTTGATCTGGCCAAAACTTTGGAATCTCCCTGACTCCTCCCTCTCTCTTATACCCTACATTAAATCCATTAGCAAAGCCTGTTGGTTCTCTCTGTCAATACGGACCATTACGCTGGCCCAGGCCATCATCACTGACCTGGATTATTACAGTTGCCTTTTTGTTGCTCTCTCTGTTTCCACTCATGCATCCATATAGCAGCAAGAGTAAAGCATTGAAAACAAAGTCAAAGCACCTTGCTCCTAAGCTCAAAATCCTTATCACTGAGTAAAAGCCAAGCCCTCACAGTGAATTACCAAGGTTCTGTTTGATTTTCTGCCTCTGTTACATTTCTACTATTAAACGTCACCTCACTCACTCAAAGGCAGGGGAGCAGCTTCCTTATTGTTCCTCAGGGAAGAGTGGTTTCTATGAAACGGTGAGAACAGAAGCCAGACTGCAGGGGATTTACAAAATAAATTAGAAGTTTACAAGTAGAGGCAAATGTAGTCTACACTTTTTTAACTTTTGGCTGGAAAATAGAAGAAAGAGACAGAAATTTACCTATAGAGAAAAACACAAAATATTATTTAGATTTTCTTAAAGAGGAAAGATGTATGAGCTTGTTTACAGTTTGAAGATGAAGAAAGGAAGGTTAAAAGTTAGTCACTTTATTATAATAATATAGAAGACTGAGGTTAGTTGAGTCACTCCCTTCCCACGGTAGACATGTGATCCTGGATGAAACATGACAATATTTTGTACATAACTAAGCTTGAAAGAACGAAGGCACACTCTCCAGAATGAAGAGAGAACTGAAAGCTGGAGCAAAGCTCTTCAGCCTATCTGTGTATCAGCTTAAGAGTATTGGCTCAGGATAATGGAACTAGAAATTAGAAGCCAGGTTTTAAAGCTCTGTGAGGCCAAGAGACTCTTTGATAAATTCAGGATATATTAAGAGCTACCTAGTCCGAAAAAAAAAAAAAAGAGAGAGAGAGAGAGAGACTAGAAAACTGTGCTTAATGCCCAGGTCAGCCACAAGGAAAGTTGTAACCTACGTGAATTCGTAGGCAAACCTTACGCAGACCCCCAGGGTCAAGGCCCAAGAAGCTATGGCATCAGAATACAGAAAATTAAAGTCATGGCTAATACAACAGGATAGACACAAGGATTTGTCTAACAGGTTTGCAGGTCCACAGAGAGGTCTCTTTCCCAATTCCCAAAATGGAGCTGCCATCATGGGAAAGTTACAAATTGCAGGGAAGGGTTGCCAACTAGAAACATTTCTGCATTTCTTAGGCTTCATTAGTATTATACCCTACATTGAAAAAAATGATGAAAATAAGTCATGCTTACATAGACAAGTATTGTTTCAAATATTTTCAGTGGTATAAATAAAACATTATAAAAGATCTTTACAAACCCAGAAATTATGGGTCATGTGATTTATACTTATTGCCACTAGATGGCACTGTAGCATATTGCTCTTGCAAAAGATGCCTGCTCAGTTCAATTAAGATTTTTTGGCTCAAGCCTGTAATCCCAGCACTTTGGGAGGCCGAGGCGGGTAGATCACGAGGTCAAGAGATCGAGACCATCCTGGTCAACATGGTGAAACCCCGTCTCTACTAAAAATACAAAAATTAGCTGGGCATGGTGGCGCACGCCTGTAGTCCCAGCTAATCGGGAGGCTGAGGCAGGAGAATTGCCTGAACCCAGGAGACAGAGGTTGCGGTGAGCCGAGATCGCGCCATTGCACTCCAGCCTGGGTAACAAGAGCGAAACTCCATCTCAAAAAAAAAAAAAAAAAAGATTTTTTTAAATAAAACATACGGCTTGCAACTAGTTCTTAATAATTTAAGAATATGGCCAGACATGGTTGCTCACACCTGTAATCTCGGTGCTTTGGGAAGCGGAGGCGGGAGGATGGTTTGAGGTCAGGAGTTCAAGATGAGCCTGGGCAACATGGTGAGACTTCCCATCTCTACAAAAAAATGTAAAACGTAATGGGTGTGGTGGTGCACACCTAAAGTTAGGAGGACCCCTTGAGCCCAAGAGTTAGAGGTTATAGTGAGCTATGATTGTGCCACTGCACTCCAGCTTCAGCAACAGGGCAAGACCCCATCTCTAAAATACATATAAATAATAATGATTTGAGAGTCTGATGACTTTTGGAAGGTGCAAACATCCTGCTCTTTCCAAAGCTGCTAGAATTAGAGCTTTGCTAAAGCCTGACCCAAATCCCTGACACTATACAAAAACGCATGTATGCCTACACATGTGTGCATTTGTCTGTAGCGAAAGGGTCCCAGAGCTCTCATTAGAGTTTTACAATTCTCTGTGGCCTTCCTCCCGTCAGAAAAGAAGCCAAACACCCACTCTCCAATCCCTAGCTAGTCACGCCTGTTTGAGAACTAACCTTGTGAGTTCATTTCCTTATGATTTCTCAAAACTAAATAGGATGGACAGAAAATAACCTCTCAGGTACCAGTTTTTGACATTTAAAATGTTTGTCCCCAGTTTGTGAGAATGGGACAATAAATGCTTTTAATAACAAGGGTTGGATGGTAGCAAGTTGTAGCAGCCCTAGAAGGCCAGATACAACTGCGACAGAAGCAGAGATGTGGGCAGTGACTAGGGGCCACTGTCAAGGCCACTATGCTATTTTCTGTGCATAGACACAGAGCTGTGAGTGAAGCAAGTTTTATCAGAAGATGGGGCAACAGTCCCAGAGCCAGCGGCCTCCAAGCAGGTGCCTGACGCTAAGGTCCTAAGTGAAATTCCACCCAATTTCATTCATAAATATGCGAGTAACTGACAGAGAAGGAAAACATGTAACCATTCTTACAGTCGCAAGTTCTGGTATACAAAGGCACGACTTCATCACTAAGTGAACTTTTGGCTCTGATCTCAAGCCTCTGTGCTCCCATGGCAGCAGGAAAAACATATATTCTTATGAAACACGACAGCCCTTTTGAAAACACACTTGTTTGAGGTAAAGGAGCCCAATGGGGCCTGTGTCTCCAGTCCCAGCGTCAAGGCAGGGGCACACAGTCCATCTCAGACTCTCCTTGCCGGTGCCTGCTGTTGGCAGAAGTCGTCATCCATCCTCTGAGCATGGGCGAGGCGTGACTATAGATCCAGGGAGCTCACAGGCTGCATCCGCCTCTCAGCCCTGCCCCTGCTTACCAACGCCTCTGATGCTTCCAGACTCAGCCACACCTTCCAGCTGGTTCCTCCTCCCAGGGGGCTCTGCAGCTTCTCCATTGCCATCATAGTCATTCTGTGGTTTCATTCTCTAGCATATCTAGTACATAATAGGCAGCCACTGAATCTATGAGCTAAAGGACACCAGGGCATCCTGCTCTGCCCTTGCTCTGCCCCTTCTCCATCCATCTCATCCTTCTGTCTTTCTCCCTGCTAACACCCATGGCAGCAGTGCCTAAGCTACCTTCACCTGATCAACAGATGACCCCTGTCCAAGGAAGAGAACTCAGAGTTCCAGCTGGTCAAAAAGTAAAACATTTCTCCTTCATTACTATCAGGTTTTATTTTGAGAGCTGAATGAAATAACATCTGTGTAGTTCATCCAGCTGTCAAAAGACACCTATACAGTAGGTACTGTTATTATTTTACAGAAAAAAAAAAAATCGTGACATCAAGAGTTTTAGCCAGTAGGTAGCATGGCCGAGCAGTCTAAGGTGCTGAATTAAGAGTTTAAGTAACTCCCCCAGAGTCACAAAGCTATAAAGTGATAAAGACAGGATTTAAAGCTAAGCACATCTGACTCGGAAGCTGGAATGCTTAACCACTCTATTTTATATTAAACCAGTACCTTTCTGTTTGCTGTTTCTTTCAGATTTGATGATAACGGCTATGTTAAAGACGTTGAAGCAAATTTCATAGTGTGGGAAATACACGGCAGGGCTGACTATAGCTTTAATAACACCATGGCGCAGGTATGGCGTGTTTGGATTTAACCAGAATTAGCATGCAACTAGACAATGTCTTTCTGTTTTAAATTTATATATAAGTGATCTAAGGAACATAGAAAAAGGCAGCAGTGGGTAGGAAAAAAATGACCTCTAAATTAAATTCTATGGCTACTAAAATTCATTTATGAAAAATAGAAGATGTTGTCACATAAGACAGACATAAAGGGGTCAGAAAAAATAAAATAACATTTATAGTAGGATGATGCAGCTCTATGAGTCTTCTTTTCTCTCCAAACTGTTTTCAGGGTTTGATTATTTATGGGTCTGCTTTGGCTTTAGGACATTTGTCACTTTTGCACTAAGTCAAACGGACACTCCAGGCTTCATCTCACTGGACTTCCCTGAATCATTCGACCCGCCGACTTTGGCTTCAGTGTCCCTACACCCTCCTGATTTTCTTCCACCCACCGTGACTGGTTGCTCTTGGCCTCCTTGAATCTCCGTTATTCTAGCCTTTCACTCTGTGGGCCACAGAGTGGCCTTACCACTCCCAATCCACACATGTCCCCTCCCTGTGCAGGCCTTTCTGCCCTGAGGACCTCCTGTTATGACGGAGCCTCTCTAGAATTTCCCAACACTGATTTCTAATATCCCCCAGAGATTTCACTCTCAGAAAAAAAAAAACCAGGGATGGCTCTTTCCAAAGTAATGTTCTTATCTACCAGACACCTAAATTATACAGAAGTATAACCCACCTAGATGGCAGCCAAGAGAACTGAGTTTCACCTGCCACCCTCAGAGTATTGCAAGAATTCTTTCTCTCTCTCTCTCTCTCTCTCGAGTCTTGCTCTGTTGCCCAGGCTGGAGTGCAGTGGTGTGATCTTGGCTCACTGCAACCTCTGCCTCCTGTGTTCAAGTGATTCTCCTGCCTCAGCCTCCCAAGTAGCTGGGACTACAGGCATGCAGCACCATGCCTGGCTAATTTTTGTATTTTTAGTAGAGACGGGGTTTCACCATGTTGACCAGGCTGGTCTTGACCTCTTGACGTCAAGTGATCCACCCACATCAGCCTCCCAAAGTGCTGGGATTACAGGTGTGAGCCACCACACCCAGCAATTGTCTTTCAATTATGTAACCAAATACATCCATCCCACCACACATTCTAGCTGCTCTTGTTCAGCACCCAATATGTCAGTTCTCCTAGTCTACTTCCTCTGCACAGTCTCACCTCTTTACTGTTATATCCATCTTCCCCCTTGGTCCAGACTCCCATCACGCTCTTCCTTCACAAACCTTTCCATTATACCTCAAGGTTAAATGCTCTAGATCCTTCTTCAGTAAAAATGCCTCAGAGGATAATCCCTTCCCTACTGTTCTATCACACCAAGAGTACACTTTCTCTTACCCCATATATTTAAGGGTGAGATTTGGGGTTGATGTTCTCCCTCATCCATAGTATCATTCCTGCACTTGATCTTAGCCAAAAGGCCACCAAGAGATCTAGTATTATTTCCAAGTCATTATCTCTTTGCCCTAAGTAAAACTCCATTTATTTGAGCCTCCTGCCATTCAGTTAACATCTATGCCATCCCTACTTACTGATATCTTATACTCAGAACTGGATCTTTTCTTCCTGCCCTGAAAACAATCATAGTTTACTCCTGAATTCTGCCATCCATCCCATAGGGTCATTGCTGGAGAACTTTCTAAACAGAGACTACATTTCCCAGACCCATTTGCATCTCAGAGCAGACCTCGAGTGATTGCCTCGCTCGGCCTGCCAAAGTATTATACTTTTTTTCTGGAAGTGATCAGCTCCAAGATAGGAATTGAGCAACTCTGATACAGGCATGGAGAAAACAGAAGATGGGGCCTGCTATCTTTCTTTTAGCAGAAAGATAAAGCATAGGAGGGGCCGTATGACTGATTCTCATGGCTGGAATGTGAGCAGAAGTCATATGTGTCACTTCCAGATGAAATGCTTAAGAAGGAATCATGGGAACCTTCACACTTTCCATTGTACCTCTCATCAGTGTATTATAGCAACAAGTAAGGCTGGAGTTGAGAGCTGGAATGCAAGGAGCCACTAGCCATCAAAAGCCTTGGTTCCTAATTTACCGCTTTGAGGAGAGGCACCATCAGAACCATCTAACCAGGGGCATCTGCATTGGACTATATGTGATCAAGAATTAAACTTGTATTCTGTAAATCCCCTGAGAGTTGGGATTTATTATTGCAGCACATAGAGATTATCTTGACTAATATGACTGACCTCATTAAAACTGCATTTAAGGACTGGGGGTGGTGGCTCACACCTATAATCTCAGCACTTTGGGAGGTTGAAGTGGGAGGATCGCTTGAGCCTAGGAGTTCTAGACGAGCCTAGGCAACACAGTGGAACATCATCTCCACACACACACAAGTTTTAATTAGCCAGGCATGGTGATACACACCTGTAGTCCCAGTTACTCAGGAGGCTGAGGTGGGAGGATCACTTGAACCCAGGAGATCAAGGCTGCAATGAGCTGTGATCATGTCACTATACTCCATCCTGGTGACAGGGCAAGATCCTGTCTCAAAAAAAAAAACAAAATTGCATTTCAGTTCAAACAGTTCATCCTCTGACCTCAACCCCCAATTTTGTAGCGCTCTCACTGTTACTCACACTACTCCAGTTTCCTACTTTCTCGCATACAACCTGGATGTCTGCTGTACTCAACCTTCTGCTTTCTCCTTCTCACTCACTCTCATCTTTCTTCCGTTCCCTTCCCATCCAGCTTGAGCTCCGTAGTTCAATTCTCCACCACCATCTTGCCAATATCTATTTCTCTGTAGTTCTATCTGTACTTCATTTTCCCCAGTATTGTTTCTGCTTGCTGTTAGGGCAACTTTAAACACCCATCTTTCTGCTTTATCCATGCCTGTATCTGTTGCTCAATTCCTATCTTGGAGCTGATCACTTCTAGAAAAAAAATTACAGCACTTTGGGAGGCCAAGGCAGGCAATCACTTGAGGTGACTCCGAGACCATCCTGGCCAACATAGTGAAACCCCGTCTCTACTAAAAATACAAAAGTTAGGGCCGGGCGCGGTGGCTCAAGCCTGTAATCCCGGCACTTTGGGAGGCCGAGGCGGGTGGATCACGAGGTCAACAGATCGAGACCATCCTCGTCAACATGGTGAAACCCCGTCTCTACTAAAACTACAAAAAATGAGCTGGGCATGGTGGTGCGTGCCTGTAATCCCAGCTACTCAGGAGGCTGAGGCAGGAGAATTGCCTGAACCCAGGAGGCGGAGGTTGCGGTGAGCCGAGATTGCACCATTGCACTCCAGCCTGGGTAACAAGAGCGAAACTCTGTCTCAAAAAAAAAAAAAAAAAAATAAAAAAATTTACCTGGGTTGGGAACAAACCCCCGGAAGTCTCAGCTATTCGGGAGGCTGAGGCAGAAGAATCGCTTGAACCCAGGAGGTGGAGGTTGCAGTGAGCCGAGATCATGCCACTGCACTCCAGCCTGGGCAACAGAGCAAGACTCCATCTCAAAACAAATGAATAAATAAATAAATCTTGGAAAATTATGAATAGATAGAAACATCTTTCACCTAATGAAATATAGATACAAAAAATTATAGCAAATATGATATTTAATGGTAAAAATTTGAATACTTTCACTTTGAAATCAGGAGCAAAACAAGGGTGGCTGTTATCACCACTTCTTTTTTTTTTTTTTTTTTGAGATGGAGTCTTGCCTGTTGCCCAGGCTGGAGTGCAGTGGCGTGATCTCAGCTCACTGCAACCTCTGCATCCCAGGTTCATGTGAGTCTCCTGCCTCAGCCTCCCAAGTAGCTGGGATTACAGGTGCATGCCACCACACCCGGATAATTTTTCTATTTTTAGTAGAGACCGTTTTCACTGTGTTGGCCAGGCTGGTCTCAAACTCCTGACCTCCGGTGTTATCACCACTTTCTACACAACATGATCCCTGAAGATCTGTGTAATAAAGAAAAAAATAATAAAAACAAAAGGCATAAGGATGGGAAAGAAAAACATAAAACTGTCATATTGACAGATGACACAATTGTTCACATGAAACAATTAGAATTACTAAGTAAGTTTAAGAAATTTTCTCAGCCAGGCACGGTGGCTCATACCTGTAATCCCAACACTTTGGGAGGCTGAGGCAGGAAGATGGCTTGAGGCCAGGAGTTCAAGGCCAGCCTTGGCAACATGGCAAGTCTCCATCTCTATAAAAATTAAAAATTAGTCCAGCATACTGGCACACGTCTGTAGTCGTAGGTACTAAAGAGGCTGAGGCGGGAGGATCACTTGAGCCCAGGAGGTCGAGGATGCAGTGAGCTGTGATCATCACAGCATTGTAGCCTGTGCAACAGAGTGAGACTGTCTCAAAACCAATTCTCTAGACACAAGATCAAAATATAAAAACCACTTGTCAATTTTTCCTTTGTATACCAGCAAACATTTAAATAATGAAAGTTTTAAAAATACAAAATGTTCAATAGCATAAAACATTAACGATTTAGAAATAAGTTGATATGAAAACTTCCACCTACCCACATATATATGCAATATTTCGACAGAGCGGTTGTTTACATACAGCACAGACATGGAACTCAATGATTAAACTTAACGAGCACCTCCCGTTAGAAGAAGTCTGGGGACCTGAGGTAAGAGAAACATTATCTTGCAAACTGTTGGTTTTGAATAACTAATCTGGCATTCTGCTATTAACAAAAACTTGATAGAAATACTTCAGATTTAAATTTGTTTTGGTAAATCAAATCCTATTTTTATATTGAATTGTATCATAGTAGTTTTTAAATGCTTCATCTTAATTTCTGTTTGAACTTTTGTTGATTCTATTTTAATTTTCACTGCTGTAAATATTTGTTTTCAGATTATTAAATATCTGTTAAACATGTAAAAACATCAAGAGTGAGTCTTTGTAAAGACTACCTAGCTCCCTGACTTCTTCAGGTTTTTACTGAAAAATCAGGTCATCAATGAGGATTTCCCTGGCACCATATGAAAAAATTTAACCATCACTTTCATGAAAGCCCATCTCTCCCCTCCCTATTTTCTTTCTTTTCTTTTCCTTTTTTTTTTTTTTTTTTTTTTTTGAGACCGAGTGCAGTGGCACAATCTCTGCTCACTGCAACCTCCGCCTCCCATGTTCAAGCACGTCTCCTGCCTCAGCCTCCCGAGTAGCTGGGACTGCAGGCGTGTGCCACTGCCTCCCGATTAGCTGGGACTGCAGGCGTGTGCCTCAGCCTCCCGAGTAGCTGGGACTGCAGGCGTGTGCCTCAGCCTCCCGAGTAGCTGGGACTGCAGGCGTGTGCCACTGCCTCCAGCTCATTTTTGTATTTTTAGTAGAGACAGGGGTTTCACCATGTTGGCCAGGCTGGTTTCAAACTCCTGACCTCAGGTGATTCACCCGCCTCAGCCTCCCAAAGTGCTGGGATTACAGACAGGAGCCACCGCGCCCGGCCTCCCTCCTCTACTTTATTTAATATCATTAGCATTTATAACCATATGACACATTACATAGCCTACTTTTAAAATCTTATTTATTATCTAGCTCCCTTACTAGAATGTAAGCTCCATGAGAAAAGGAAATTTTGTTTTGTTCTCTGCATCTAATCTATTGTAGGTGCTCAATAAATATTTGTGTACCAAATTAATTAATTAAACATGATATACCTACTGTAAAGAGTAATTTTCTAGTATTTAAAATTCCTAAGGGGACCAGGCATGGTGGTTCATGTCTGTAATCCCAGCACTTTGGGAGGCCAAAGCAGATGGATTGCTTGAGCCCAGGAGTTCAAGACCAGCCTGGGCAACATGGTAAGACACCCATCTCTACAAAAATTACAAAACAAAAAAATTAGCTGGGCAAGGTGGTACATGCCTGGAGTCCTAGCTACTCAGGAAGCTGAGGTGGGAGGAGCACTTGAGCCCAGGTGGTTGAGGTTGCAGTAAGCCATGATCACAGCTTTGCATTCCAGCAGGGGTGACACCGTGAGACCTTGTCTCAAAAAAATTAAAACATTAAAATCATAAGGAATTAAGTCAGTTAAAACAAAACTTACCCTCCTGACTTTTTGTTGAAGGACATCCAACGGTCTGGAGTTAGGAATAGGTGTAAATGATAGGTGAGGATGATATCCCCACATCTTATAAAAGGTACCTAAGTATTCTAAGATTCTTGCTTCATTCGGTATGATATGGTACAATGGTTCTCAAACTTCAGCATACATCAAAACCACCAAAAGACCTTGTTAAAATAGATTGCTGGGTCTCACTCCCAGAGTTTCTAATTCAGCAGATCTTGGATGGGGCCAAAAAATTTGCACCTCAATGCTACTGATACTGCTGATGTGGGGACTACATTTAAGAACAATTGAAATGGTAGCATACAGTCTAGAAAGACTCTGGAGTGCCCATACCAGGCCCTAAATGTTCGATTCTACTGCATGAGAAACATAAAGCTCACCACTGAAAGGGTGAATTCAGTCTGAAGTCTGAATATAATAGAAAGCAGGTACCCGCAAAGACTAGGTATGCCCTCATGAATAAGGCTCCTCTTACTGAAGGGTGTCATTATTACACTGTGTCTTAACATGGCAACCAGGGCAGCTTTCTTCCTGAAACATACACCTGAAATGAAATGGAAAGCCTTCCAGTTCTTGGAGCTACACTGATTGCTACATAGTCCTTCTGATTCTACAAGAATGAATGACACCTACATTTTTTAACAATCAGGGAAGTAGCTCTGGGGACTGTAAATTCTTAGTGAAAAAAACTGAAGGGCTCATAAGCTAAAGTGGCATTTTCACAGGTTCTGCTGTTAAGGTTGGAGATTGAGAAGGAGAGGGAGAATATGGATGCTGAGTGGTTGTCTACATCCAGAGGATACAGAATTGGATTTGAGTTTCCTGATGTGGCTGAAAATACTAGACTGAGAAGTCCTTGGCTAAAAATTGAGTATCATGCATGAGGCTAGGGGAGTTGTTTTTTTGTTTTGTTTCGTTTTGTTTTGTGATGGAGTTTCGCCGTTGCCCAGGCTGGAGTCCAGTGGGGCAATCCCGGCTCACTGCAACCTCCGCCACCTGGGTTCAAGCGATTCTCCTGCCTCAGCATCCCAAGTAGCTGGGATTACAGGCACCCGCTGCCTCACCTAGCTAATTTTGTATTATTAGTACAGACGGGTTTCACCATGTTCGTCAGGCTGGTCTCCAACTCCTGACCTCAGGTGATCCACCTACTTCGGCCTCCCAAAGTTCTGGGATTTACAGGTGTGAGCCACCATGCCTGGCCAGGAGATTTGTTTCCTAAGAAACTGGGTGATTTGATCAAGTGGATTTTCACATGAAAAAAGAAGGGGGAAAACACAATAGTGGCAGGGGAAGGGAATTTAATAATGTAATAGGAAATATCAGCAGTGAGTGATATCTTTCTGGCAGTGACACAGAAAAAAAGAGCAAGACTCAATAGATACCATCATTCATATTAAGAAATAACTAAATAGAAAACAGTATAAATAGTCCTGCCTGTCTATATACAAAAATATATAATGATACAAGGCTATTAAGTCTTTACTAGCAATGCTTCATTGTAATGATATATGCAGAGTTTCTGAACATTTAGACTATACCACATACTTTCCCAATTAAGTTCATGGACCCATGTATTAACTAACTTGGTAGGACAAGTTTCACAGCTTATTTTTGACCTAGAAGAACCCTTCACTGAAAAATATAATTTATTTTGTGTTTTCAAGTAGGGATACATCAAAAAATGAACCTTTTACCTATTTTTCATTAACCCAACATATTGTTTTATAAAAGTGCCACAGACCACAATGGCAGAATGGTAGACAAGAGCAAGAAATGCTAGAAGAAACAGGTTTTTCAAAAAACAATGTTGGAATTATTTTTGGAGTTTATCAAGACATATAGTAATATTTTTAAATTAAATATAATCAAGAGTGTTAGGGATACCATTTATGATTAAAATGTAATTGAAGAATAATTCACCTACATAAAATAAAATGACCTGCTCAGAAGGAAGTAGAGGAATTTTCAGTGAGAAGGCAATATTCAGCCTTTATCCCTCCCATTGGAATAATTAGTCCTGATCTGTGTCCACTGAGGCTTCTGTTCCTAAATTCCTGCTCCTGAACCTGGCCTTTGATCAAACGAGGGATTCATTTGCCTGGATATAAGAATCCTTCAAAAATACCTCTCTGGATGATTAGTAGTTCCGATAGCAAGTTTTGAATTTTTGTCTCTTCCAAAAAGAAGGGGGAAAAGACAATAATGGCAGGGAGGGGAATTTAATAATATAATAGGAAATATCAGCAGTGAGTGATACCTTTCTGGCAGTGACACGGAAAAAAAGAACAAGACTCAGTAGATACGATTATTCATATTAAGAAATAATTAAATAGGCAACAATATAAATAGTCCTGCCTGTCCATATACAAAAATATATAATGATACAAGGCTATTAAGTCTTTACTAGCAATGCTTCGTTGTAATGATATATGCAGAGTTGCTGAATGTTTAGACTATACCATGTACTTTCCCAATTAAACTCATGTTAAAATTCCATCTCCAATGCGGCAGCATTGAGAGGGGGAGCCTTTCATTGGTGATTGGATCATGAAGGCAGAGCCCCCAAAAGTGGATTAATCCATTCACAGATTAATGGATTCATGGGATAATGGATTCATGGGTTTCATGGGAGTGGGACTGGCAGCTTCATAAGAACAGGAGGAGAGACCTGAGCTATCATGCTCTGCCACCTTGCCCTGGGATGTCCTGTGACACTTTGGGACTCTGCAGAGTCCCTACCAGCAAGATGGCCCTCACCAGATGCCACCCTTTGACCTTGGACTTCTCAGCGTCCTTGGAAAGGAATGAATTCATTTTCCTCATGAATTACTCCATTTCAGGTATTCTGTTATAAGCAACAGAAAACAAACTAACACACAGTGAAAGCCTCCTCTGCCTGGCACAGGGTGTTCAGGCTGTGTTCCCAGAGCTTCCGCAGCTGGCACCACCCTGCACGTGAGTCACGCTGTGGAGTCCCTCCCCTGCTTTCCTGGGGTTTCCTTCCCTGAAAGACTGCCACCAGACGGGGCAAGTATGGCAACATGGGCACACAAAACATTTAGAGTCTTTACAGTGATGCTAATTAAAGCCAAAGAGATATGACAAGCCTGTCTTCTGTGAAAATTCCTTGACAGTACAGGTCAATACAACGCTATGCACAACAAAATTCTGTCCGTCTTGTGATCTCACCCTTTGCTTTTTATACAAATATCTTCCACACTTTTCCCAGAAGTCTGTCAAAGTAGAGCTGGAACATATGTGTTCTCTGTCCCTGATTACTATGTACTTCCTTAGTCTTTCACATCCCAATACCACTGGCGTGAGGAAGGAACCCATAGCCAAGGCGACCAGGCAGGGTGTACCCACAGCTGAGTAGCAAGTGGGCCTTCTGCTCCGTTTAGTCAGACTTGTGTTTTTGGCTCAACCCATGCTTGTGGTTACCAGAATATAAATGGTAAGCCACCTTCTCCTCCTAATCTTTCTTATTTTGAAAATCATTCTTTATTTTCGTTTTTACTAAGTAATATGTGCATGTAAAACTCCTCCTCATCTTGATGGCCTACACATGTTACTCCTAACTCAGTTATGTAACATGTTACATTTTTATCTGGAACACATTTTAGCCTAATATTTTGTTACTCAAACAAATCTCCCTCAACCTGGCTGGGGCGCTGCCACTCTGCAGAACGACCTCTAAACATTGCTGTCATTGTTGCATCCTCATTATTCATTCACATTCCTAGGAGAGAACTTGGGTTGGTAGAGCTGCCCTACCACCACTCCAGCTGTGTCCTGGGGTAGGGAGCAAAAGAATCTGTGCCTGTCAGCTTTTGGAATGAAAGGTGGGGACTTGGAATTACCCTCACTTTCATGATTTCCAAGAGGAACCAGAGTTCTATTAAAAATGATAATGGACTCTGGACAGACAAAAAAAAAAAAAAAAAGACAAATATCCACAAACATTGCTCTCAGGAAAAGGTGATACTGGAATCCTTTAATTAAAGTTATACTGTTAAATTAGCTACAGACATTTCATCTCCTAGAATAAATGAAAAGTACAGTCATGCATCACTTAACGATGGGAACATGTTCTGAGAGATGCTTTGTTAGGCTATTTTGTCATTATGCAAACATCATAGAGTGTACTTCCACAAAGGTAGATGGTATAGCCTACTATATAACTAGGCTATATGATATAGCCTATTGCTCCTAGGCTGCAAAAATGTACGGCATGTTACTATACCAAATAATGTAAGGAAATGGTAAGTATTTGTGCAACAGGAATTTTTCAGCTCTGTTGTAATCTTATGCGACCACTATTGTATATGTGTTCTATCAGGGACCAAAACATTGCTATGCAGCACATGACTGTAATTGATTATTGGAATGGAAGTAATAGTATGTGGGATATGTCAGTATCCTCACATTTCATGATATCCAGGAAAGTAACAGCAGGCACAATCAGAATTGTACCACACATCTGAATAAAACAGCTTGCAAAAATTTCAGGTCAGGTGTCATGGCTCATACCTATAATCCCAGCACTTTCGGAGGCTGAGGTGGGAGGATTGCTTAAGTCCAGGAGTTTGAAATAAATCTGGGCAACATAGTGAGACCCCATCTCAAAAAAAAAAAAAAAAGCCCAGGTGCGGTGGCTCACCTGTAATCCCAGCTCTTTGGGAGGCCGAAGCAGGCAGATCATGAGGTCAAAAGATCGAAACCGTCCTGGCCAACATGATGAAATCCCATCTCTACTAACAATGCAAAAATTAGCTGGGCATGGTGGTGCACACCTGTAGTCCCAGCTACTTGTGAGGCTGAGACAGGAGAATTGCTTGATCCCAAAAGGTGGAAGCTGCAGTGAGCTGGGATCGCACCACTGCACTCCAGCCTGGCGATAGAGCGACTCTGCCTCAAAACAAAAAAGTGAAGCTTAGCCAAGCATGGTGGCACATTCCTGTAGTCCCAGCCTCTTTGGAGGCTGAGGCAGGAAGATGGCTCGAGCCTAAGAGGTGGAAGCTTCAGTGAGCTATGATCATGCCACTGAACTCCAGCCTGGGTGACAGAGTGAGACCCTCTCCCTACAAACAAAACAAAACAAAAAACACATTAATTCAACAAATATATCTTGACTACTGTGTGTCAGACTGAAGATATAGGCCCAGTAATAAGCTTAAGCAATAAGCTTCCCTCTAGAACTTGTAATTATCACCATCTAGTCATGATGACATTTTTGTCCATGGAGTTGCCATGAGGAAGTCTCTGAGACTATGCAAGAGCTGATTGATCGCAAAGCTCTATTGACTGGGACGTTGTTCATGAAAAAGAAATACTTCAAGATATGTAGAAAAAAGAAAAATACCATTGTCTTAGTGCATTTTGTGCTGCTGTAACAGAATGCCAGAGGCTGGGTAATCTATAATAAACAGAAATGTCTTGGTTCATAATCCTGGATGGTGGGAAGTCCCAAGATCAAGGGGCTGGCACCTGGTGAGGGCCTTTCTGCTGCATCATCAGATGGCAGAAGGCAAAAGGGGTGAGAGGGTGAGGGCGAGGGAGAGGGCAAGCAAGAGGGACTGAACTCATCCTTTTGTAAGGAACCCACTGCGTGATAACGGCATTAACTCATTCATGAAAGTAGTGCCCCTGTGATCCAAACACCTAATGGGATCCATTAGACCTCGCTTCCCATCTCAACTTTTTGGACCAAGTTTCCAGCACATGAACTTTGAGGGATGCATTCAAACCATGGCAACCTTGAAGGATGTTGGTAGACAAAAGCTCAGATACATCCAAAGTAATTGCCTTACAAGGTTTCTTGTTTCCTTCAGATGAGAAGCTTTCAGAGATCAAGAATGGTGGAGGAAGAGTCCTTTAAGTAGGGTGTGAAAACATACAGGATCTAAAAGAACCCAAAAGCAATGCGATGTAATAATAGGATCAGATATCTGCAAGTTTTAACAATGATTTTCTTTCATTTTATTTGTTTTAACAGAGTAACTTTTTAAAATACGGCTTGTTTCATCTGTGTTTTCAAAAAGGCAGGCAAGAGACATTTTGTATCTTGAGACCCATAGAAAGACACAGTAATGGTAATGGGGATAAATGAAGATCCGAGGGGAAGATAAAAACCCAAGCATATACCATCTTAACTGTTGTTTCTGTACCTTATGATCAAAACTGTTTCTATCCCCAGTTAAGCATCTTTGGAGGATTTTGTATTTTGTTGATTTAGGAAAATAATATGCTTACGTATTCTCAACACTCTAATTTAATTGTTTATAAATACAACATTTGCTTTCACTAAGCTTCATTTTTTATTAAATTTTAACCCAGTAGAGCTCTTAAAGTGCTATAGAGCACTGCAGTGGTAAAATAGAAGGGAAAAGCCATTACATCTCTAAATAATTTTTCAAGATAAATGAGACTATAATTTTGCTTATCAAAGTCGTAAAATGACCTTAAGATTTTTGTCTTTGTTTCTTGTTCAGAACTATAAACACTGTTTTTCTTATGGCATTGGAAAACCAGGAGACTTAAATCAACCATACGAGATTATCAACAGTTCTAACAGGAACCACATATTTTGGCCCATGGGCCATTCTGGAATGTATGTATTTCGTCTGAAGATCCTGGATCCAAACTATAGGTGAATATATGTGTTATTGTAACAGTTTTAGCATTGTTTCTTCAAAATGAAATTTTTATTTATTTGATGCCTACTATGCATTCAGTCATTGTTATTCTTGTTATTTACATATTTGCTTTTTCATTTTATAGCAATCACATGAAACATTCTATGTGGGTAGAATATTTTATATTAAGTGTCAATTAAATTAATCATTTTACAATTACATTCTGAGGACTTTCCTGTGCTCGGCTGCCATGAAAGATCCAAATATAAGCACAGTCTTGTCCTTCAAGGCACTTACAATTAAGCTGCCTGGAGAAGGAGGAGTGGGGGGAGGGGTACACATAAAAGCCAAGAAAAGTTAAATCCGAGCAAGACACAGTAGATATTTTTATAATTATTTGCATTATTGACAGGCACAATAGTAATTCAGACATGGGGAAGATTAATACTATTTTGAGCAGTAAAAGAAAACTTTCTGGAGAACACAGAACATCAGCAAAATTGACATTGCCAGAAGACTGGAACAGACACTTCCAGTGAAAGAAATCACACTAATAACAGAATGGAGCTAAATGTTAGCACATTGTTTGTGGCTCGTGGCGGCACAAAGGAAGGCAGAAAGTGCCCTGAATGAGGAAGGTAGAAAACAAAGGAGGGAGACACACTTAAGGCAGTTCATAATGTTTAAGAAAGTTTCAGCCCATGTCCTAGAGACTTCCGTTAGTGTCTTCACTAGGGAAGTGCTATGATGGAAGCATAGCTCTAGGGAAATCAGCCTGAGAATAGCACAAAGAATGGCACAGAAGAAAAATAAACTCTACATGGATAATGGAGAAGGGGGACGTTAACAAGGAAGGAGGTCAAAGGAAGGCCTAGTGGCCATAAGAATGGAAAGAAGAGAAAAGAGTCTAATGACAAGAGATTATATCGATCTCATGAGGCAAATACAGAAGGAATCGATAGAGTTTCATGTTTTCTAGACCAGGTAATTAAAATAATGGTATTTTCTTTGACCACAATAGGTCATGGGGTGGTTTTTCTTTGGGTGAGGTATTGAGATAAGAGTTCTGACTTTGAATTTGAGGGGACAATGAGATACCTAAGTGAAGATATTCTATATACAGTTAAGAATTCTACTTTGGGCCTGGAGTGGCAAGGAAGAGCTGATGATAAAAAGTTAACAATACAGATATATCTTGTATGGAGATCCCAGGAGCATACATAAGTTAGCTGACTGATTCTAAATAGAGAGTGGAAGAGCTTTGGGAGATACCTGCTGTTAGGGGGGATGAGGAAAGGGGCAGAGCGGTGAGTTCTTCAAATAAAAGAAAAATGAAGAAAAAAATAATTTTTAAAAATGCAGTAAAACAGGATATTTAAAGGTGTCCATCACTAACAGGTGCCAAACATGTTTCAAAATCATGATTATCAATGCAGGACTTGGAAAGAAGATGTCTCAAAACTGGTTATTTCTCCTATTAGCCTCTGAGCTATTCAAAGGCAGCTTAGAAAGAAGGCTGGGAGTTCATAAGAAAGGCTAATGGTGAGGACTTCTTCCAAGAGAGTTTTCTGAATGCTGTGCGTTTTCCCTTCCTACCCCTGGAGAAAAGAAAAGAAGAGGGGGCTTCAGAAAGCCACTCGAGGACACTAACATGGCTCTCCTGGTTTGGGGATGGGGAACAAGTATTATGCCTAATTCCCATCTAGGAAGTTTCAAGGTAAGAGGCTGCCTGCAGGTGCACTGACAATAGGGGACTTTTAATGGGACTAAGAAAGTGATATTTTATGGTGATACGAGGTATAATCCATGAGGAAGATAAAATATTCATGAACTTTACGTACCCAACAAAAAGCCAGACAATACATGAGACTAAAACTATTAGAAACAGGGTAAGAATACGACAAAAATACAATTTTATTAGGAGACTTTAATATATCTTTCTCAGAATTTGGTAGATCAAGTAGTCATAAAATAGATAAGCAAGTGGGGAATGTGAATAAAATTATTAATTAACTTGACCTAAGTCAAGAGATACGTAAAATGGAGTTTCGGCTTATCTATGAATTAAGACCCAACGTCAGCATGTAAGGATAATATTGTATGTGGCCAAAATTACTTTTGATTTCCCATAAAAGGTGTCACGCTGGAAACTGCAGTAGCGTCTCTCGGCGAGTCCAACAGAGCCAGCAGTTCCAGCAGCATTTGAGCAGATCACCGTTGCTTTTGTTTCGTCCCACTTGAAATACTTGATCCACATGTTAAGCCATGTGGTAGTAAAAACGGGTGCTGTTTCTCTGTTAACGCTACAATCATATTTATTGTTTAAGATGTTCACATGTGAAAGGCTCAGCAGAACTAAGACCAACTCTGAAAAGGGAGGATTCAAATTTCCCATCTCTCATTCCCTTTGGAATAGAAGCACATGGAGTGGGTAGTGGGGAGAATCTGCCGTATCTTACAATACCTACAGAGCACACACATTCTCTTCCAGTGCCTAGGGAAACACTATAAGTGGCAATAATCTTGTGGTGAACCAAATATAAAATTTTAACAAGTGAAAGAACATAATTTTATAGGCTACAATTCAGGCTAGAAACTAAAAAATATAAATAGCCCTCAATTTCTTAAAATATGACAGATTTAGTGTTCAGGGAAAACCTTTCCTGCACAGTACATTTAACATGCATACACCTTTTAAATGCACAACCACACTGGCGGGAAACTAAGGGAATTATTTGTAGGCCAGAAATTCCAAAAAAGTGCAAGTTCATTAGATCCTATTGGAGTTATCTAAAGACACTCTATCCTCCCTAGGGTTATCTGGGTATCCCTGGTGACCTGAATCACAAGGCAACATGTAGGGGAGAGGGGAGCAAGTACGGGGCCCTAGCAGAGATAGAGATTAGATCAGAAAACCTGAGGCTTTGAAGGGCACAATCCTTAGGGAAGATGACAAGGATGCATGCCTGAATCAAGCCTCTAACAAGAAAGCCTATGCTTTGAAGTTTTGAAGCCAGGTACTGATTTCTCTGCTCTAGCTATGAAAGTTCTAGATGAGGCTGGGTGTGGTGGCTCACGCCTGTAATCGCAGCACTTTGGGGGGGGCCAAGGTGGGTGGTCACCTGAGGTTAGGAGTTCGAGACCAGCCTGACCACCATAGCAAAACCCCATCTCCACCAAAAATACAAAATTAGCCAGGTGTGATGGCAGGCACCTGTAATTCCAGCCACTTGGGAGGCTGAGGCAGGAGAATCACTTGAACCCAGGAGGTGCAGGCTACAGTGAGCCAAGGTCTCACCATGGCACTTCAGCCTGGGCAACAAGGGCAAAATTCTGTCTCAGAAAAAAAGAAAGAAAGAAAGTCCTAGATGGCATCTTGCTCCAATAGAAGGCTGCTTCATCCACACTGAAAGTCTGCTGAATAGCATAGCCGCCTTCATCAGTCATCTCAGCTGGATCTTCTGGGTCACCTCCTGCAGCTTCTCCATCAGCACTTGCTGCTTCGCCTTGTGCTCCCATGTTACGCAGATGGCTTCTTTCCTTAAGCTTCATAAACCAACCTCTTCCCGCTTCAGACTTTTCTTCTGCAGCTTCTTCACCTCTCTCAGCCTTCCTAGAACTGAAGAGAGCTAGCGCCTTGCTCTAAATCAGGCTTTGGTTTAAGGGATGTTGTAGCTGGTTTGATAATCTGTCCAGACCATTCAGACTTTCTCTGTATCACTAATAAGGCTGTTTCACTTTCTTCCCATTCGTGTGTTCACTAGAGTAGCACTTTTCATTTTCCTTCAAACACTTGGCATTCATAATGTGGCTAACTGTTGGTGCAAGAGGCCTCACGCCCAGCCTGCCTCAGCTTTCAATGTGCCTTCTCCACTCAGTTTAATCATTTCTACCTTTTGATTTAAAGTGAGAGACATGTGCCTCTTCCTTGTACTTGAACACATAGAGGCTATTTTAAGGTTATTGACTGGCCTAATTTCAATATTGCTGTGTCTCAGGGAGTAGAGAGGCTGAGGGGAGAGATGGGGATCAGGGTCAGTGAGCAGTCAGAGCATACATAACACTAAGTCCACTGTCTGATATGGGCGCAGTTCATGTGCTCCAGGAAACCTTCACAGTAACATCAGAGATCACTGACCACAGATCGTATACCAGATATAGTGATAATGAAAAAGGCTGGCATTATTATTGGGAGGCCAGAGTGAGAGGATAGCTTGAGACCAGGCATTCAAGACCCCCCTGGCAGCATGAGATCCCGTCACTACAACAATTATTTTTAAAAAATATTATCGGGCATGACAGCATGCATCTGTAGTCCTAGCTACTCGGAAGGCTGAGGGGGAGGATCACTTGAGCCCAGAAGGTCAAGGCTGCAGTGAGCTGTGACTGTGCCACTGTACTCCAGCCTGGATGACAGAACAAGACCCTGTTTAAAAATAATAATAATTGAGGCTGGGCACGGTGGCTCACGCCTGTAATCCCAGCACTTTGAGAGGCTGAGGCAGGTGCATCATGAGGTCAACAGATGGAGACCATCCTGGCTAATACGGTGAAACCTTGTCTCTACTAAAAATACAAAAAAATAGCTAGGCATGGGGACACGTGCCTGTAGTCCCCCTACTTAGGAGGCTGGGGCAGGAGACCCACTTGAACCCAGGAGGCGCCGATTACAGTAAACAAAGATCATGCCAGTGCACTCCAGCCTGGGCAACTGAGTGAGACTCCATCTGAAAAATAAAATAAAAAATTATCAAAATATTGTGGGAATTACCAACATGTGACACAGAGACATCAAGTGGGCACATGAGGTTTATAAAAATTGAAGGTCTGTGGTAATCCTGTATCGAGCAAGTCTGTTGGTGCCATTCATAGTATCTGCAAAGCACGATAAAGTGAAGCCCAATGAAACAAGGTATACCTGCATGCTGTTTCTCCTTAGCCAGTTTTGCTTTCCAGTAATTTCGGTTACTTGCCATCAACAGTGGTCCAAAAATATGAAACGGAAAATTCCAGA